CTGCGATCTCTCTCAACCGAGGCTTTCTGTGGACCCCATCCCCTGGTCGCTCAGTGGGAGGTTGCTCATTCTCCTCCGCTGCCCCCCACAGTTTGGAACTCCCTTCCCCCAGTCGCCAGTGCTGGTGATCCTCTGGCCCCCATTGAAGTCCAGGCTCAAGGCCTTCCTCATTCCTTCTGCCCGTGACTGAGACTCCCCCCCCCACCTCTCTCTCTGCAAAGTAAATATTCCCCTTGGGCTTCTGCAGTTGCGGCGTCTCGGGATGCCGCCGCGCTTCGGCGCCGTACGAATCCCGCGCCTCTTGCACTCCAGGGGATGGCATATCGTGATTGTCGGGATTAAAAAACCAAAGTTTGCGTGAGAAAAAAAGGTAAAGTGAGAGAAGCGAGATTACAAACTGAACTCTGAAACGCGAGCCGTGCGCGGCAAGCCGTGCACCGCACGTTACCCCGATGCGAAGGGCGTGGCGGGTTCAGCCCCTGGCGCCGTCGTCCGCTCGTCGTCCCTCAGCTTCTCCTGGCCTAGGGCCGCCCCACGGCTCCCAGCCTCCCTCCCCCTGGCCCCCACCGCGTCTAGTCGCCCGCACCCTTCTCGTCGCCTCGTGGGCTCTACTCTCCTTGTCGCTGTCGTGTTGTGACAACGGGACCAGGCTTAAAGGGGCAATGGTGGCTTTCTTCTCTCCCCCCCCCCCCCCCCTTAGCCCTGCTCTCAACAGTGGTGTTTAGCTTGAGCACCGTTTTGGACACCGCGGTGGCGAGATGTTATCTGCCTCGCCTTGTATGCAGGAGGTCGTGGGTTTGATCGTGACCCTGACGCCTATATATTTGGAGTTTGTGTGTCTCTCTCTCTCCCCGTGGTTGCGTGGATTTTTTTCCCCGAGTCCTCTGGTTTTTCCCTCCACATTTAGAATCAACGTCACGCGTTTAGAATATTTGGCTGCTGCTCTAAATTTACACGTGATAAGCTACTTCGTTGAGCTATCATTTGTCGCCAGGTCACTTCTGGAAAATAGTTATATAGCTCAATGGGCCTAACCTGGTAAAATAACAAATATATTTTTAAATAGTTTTCTGAAACTGAATTCTACATGCGTTCAGGCGACGGACCCCTTGCAAGTTTTAAATGGGTGCATGGTATTTGATTGGCAGGTCTCGTGTGCTCGGTGGGGTAAAGTGTGGGTATTCCCACTTTCCCAAGACATTTGGCCACTACAGGGTGCTGCGCTCCTCCCAACAGCTTCCCTCTAGTGCGGGCGCCCCCCCCCCCCCCCCCCCCCCGACGATCCACCGGCAGTGCCACGAGCAGGGCATTGCAAGGCTGCGCTTTTTGCCTTGTTGAAGGCGACTGCAATGCGTTGACGTTGGCTCTAATAGGTGACTTGGCGAGTAAGGAATTTCCACTGCAGACAGCCGCCCCGTTCATTGCCCCTTCATAGCTGGAACCCTGCAAGAAGCTCGCTTCTCCTCCCCCACTCCCAGCCTTGTCGCGTGTGTGCACAGTGCCTGCCTTCATTACACATGGATGTTCGCGGCCAGCTCCTCGTGCCGAAAGGCATCGTCGCCAAAGCAGTTAATGTCACCGCCACCGTCCCTCACCGCTGCCACCACCACTACCGTACCTCTGCACTACCAACCACCACCACTACCGTGCCTCACCGCTACCACCACCCACCCACCACCGTAACGCGCCGTGACCAACACTTTCTCCCCTTAGCCAAATGCCAGGACTGTTGCCCAGGAGACGCATAGCGATCTTCAAGGTTGTGGCCTGGCAGTCTCCCACCTTCATCTGGCCTTAGGTCTTCTCTTCCCTGGGTCTTTTGAAATGAGTTCTTCTCCAGCAGTGTTTTTTTTTATTTTTAAGCAACAAAAACCCTGGGCCGGCTTCGATTACTCCGAGTCTCATCAGCAGGATGTAGCCCATAAAACCAATTTGTATCTAATGATGTACACGTGGACTCGTGCGTGTGTGTATCAATGTAGGCCGACTCGGCCTCAAATGAGTACCTAGTGCGATGTGTAAACATCGCCACGAGGGCTAGGTGCTGGCCACCCACCCCCTCGTGTGTTGTGCCGGCCTTCATAGATGCTCGCCAACAGCACTTGCCCCAAAAGTCCGTTACCGGCTATACGGGGGATATTTGTCTTTGTATCAATGTATACTTGTAGAGTTTGTAATGCGTGGTGTGGCACATTACAAATATCGTATTATATTTCCAATACGTCGTGTTGCATGCATACCATATATATTCGTGTAATAGTATATGTGTGGTAATGTAACATGTCTACTTAAATAATGACTAATGTTGCTAACATTCCATTCATGTACTTTGTATGTGACATAAACTCGACACATTCATCAACACCGTGTGGCCTTAAAATAAAATGAATTTTTGACGGACGTTTTGGGCAATGACCCTCCATGGCACATGAATCATGAAAAAGGACCATTGCCTGAACCGTTTCCTATTATACGTTTTCTTTTATGGCCACAGTTACTGACGAATGGTGAGTTTTTTTTTCAATTTGTTAAGTTTGCTAAATGCAGCAGCCCTATGACTAAATGTTGCGTTTATATAGACTGTACGTTGTACAAAAAAAACTCACCTCTGGTACCAGCATCGTATGCAACTTTATATTAGACGCGCGTCACTCAGTCCATCGTCACTCCGGGGGTCAACAAAATCAGCACCACTTTGCGGGGGAAACAACAGCAGGTTGCCCCATTGGTAGCACGGTTGGCTACGTATGGTGCGAAAGAAGTTCCACATGCGTGCGTCCATCCCTGCAATGGGAATGTTACATTTTCCACCGCTGCCTTAAGGCTTTACAGACGAGCACCCATGCCTCCGGTATATGTGTACCATATATACTTCCGTAATAGAATATACATCATTTAACAGGATACGTTATTTAATTTACACACACACATTATCACGCGTGTATGAATATTACAGTAAGTATGAGCTTTGCATTTATAGTATCGTTTTCAAATGACGTTTTAAAGCGGGTCCAAGCTGGGCTTGCATTGCTGACGTCCGTCCGAAGGAAAATCCTCCGCCCGCCCCTCGCCTGCTCCTATTGGCTGGCGCTGACGCATTGCGGACCGTAGGGCCTCCCCGGATGGTTGCCGTGGCGACGGGGCTGGTCGCCCAGGCTACGATCGTGCGGCTGAGCACGTCGCCACGTTTTGGCGGTTGTCCCAGCATCCCCAGACCGCAGCCGCCTCCAACCCGTGCACTGCCAACACTGAACCCCACCGCTAGCACAGAACCCCACCACTAACACTGAACCCCACCGCTAACACTGAACCCCACCGCTAACACTGAACCCCACCACTAACACTGAACCCCACCACTAACACTGAACCCCACCGCTAACACTGAACCCCACCGCTAACACTGAACCCCACCACTAGCACAGAACCCCACTGCTAACACTGAACCCCACCGCTAACACTGAACCCCACCGCTAACACTGAACCCCACTGCTAACACTGAACCCCACCGCTAACACTGAACCCCACCACTAACACTGAACCCCACCACTAGCACAGAACCCCACTGCTAACACTGAACCCCACCGCTAACACTGAACCCCACCGCTAAAACTGAACCCCACCGCTAAAACTGAACCCCACCGCTAAAACTGAACCCCACCACTAACACTGAACCCCACCACTAACACAAACCCCACTGCTAACACTGAACCCACCGCTAACACTGAACCCCACCGCTAACACTGAACCCCACCACTAACACTGAACCCCACCGCTAACACTGAACCCCACCGCTAGCACTGAACCCCACCACTAACACCGAACCCCACCGCTAGCACTGCACCTCACCACTACACTGAACCCCACCACTAACACAGAACCTGACCACTAACACAGAACCTGACCACTAACACAGAACCTGACCACTAACACTGGACCCCACCACTAACACAGAACCCCACCGCTAGCACTGAACCCCACCACTAGCACTGAACCCCACCACTAACACTGAACCCCACCGCTATCACTGAACCTCACCACTAACACAGAACCCCACCACTAACACAGAACCCCACCACTAACACTGAACCCGACCACTAACACAGAACCTGACCACTAAAACAGAACCTGACCACTAACACTGAACCCCACCACTAACACTGAACTCCACCGCTAACACAGAACCCCACCGCTAACACAGAACCCAGCCACCTATACCACCTGGGGACCCACAGTGGCAAAATGTTAAATACTTCGCCTGGTTTACAGGTGGTGGGTTCAATCCCGACCATGATGCCGGTATATTTGGAGTTTGCATGTTCTCTCTGTGGTTGCGTGGCATATTTTCTGGGTCCTCCGGTTTCCCCCCCCAACATTTAGAATCAACGTGCGTTTAGGGTATTTGGCTGCAATAAATTTCCACTTGATAAGCCACCTCGTTGAGCTCTCATTTGTGGCCAGGTCGCTTCTGAAAAAAAGCTATACAGCTCAGTGGGCCTTACCTGGTAAAATAAAAAAACATTTGTTTTTTAGCCCAGTACCCATCACGAACACAGAACCCAGCCACGGTTAAATGCAACATCTATTGCGAGCTTATGAATCGATGTTCACTGGAGCCTCTTCACATTTGTGTTGAGACACGATATAACAGCCACCATTAACCCAGCCTAATCCCCCCCCCCCCAAACCCATCAACTCTCTCACTCACCTTAAGTATAACACGACCACTCGCAACCAACCCAGCCATCTACACAGCCACCCTGCCACCTACCGACCCACCCACCCTATCGCCTACCCACGGAACCATTCTCCCTCCCCTCCAACTCTCCCAGCCAGACCTGAATCGATAAGGCTACCCACCCGGCGCTAGTCAGCCAGCCATCGAGCCCGCCGGCTACTTGCCCACCCTCACCCACCCGCTCCCTCCCCCACTGCCCCGCATCGCACGCTCTCCTTGAGCCCCCCCCCCCCACCCCTGCCCTCCACCCTTACCGCCCCCCCCCCCCACGTTTCAAGTGGGCTGCCCGCAGCTTAAAACGGACGTCACAGCTGTTCCGCTCCCCCGCTCCGCCGGATAGATAGTGCCGTGTCTCAGCCTGAGCGCCATTCCTAGAAGCTCACGGAAGACTCGCTCCCGCTGCTCCGTGTCCCCCTTCGCAGGTTTGTAATTCTCAGCGCTGGCGTTTCCTGCCGCTGTGTTTGCACGCGTGATGCGAGTGCGCGGATAAGATGGTGGTGCATACGTTGCGTATGGATCCAATTTATACGTGCCTGCGAGGTTATACGTGTAAATGTTGCATACGCAAATGCGTACGTAGAAATATTCGTACACGGGTACAAATACAACAGGGTCGTCTGTTATCGTCACCGTCTTATTGTATTGAATTCACGCGCACACATACAGAAATGTGCGTGCAATAGATGTGAAGCAGTTTTCGGACGTGTGTGAATATTACGTTCATATGCATGCGAATACTTGCGTGTCTTGTATTACACCTAGCTACTGCGTACTTTCTACCGCGGTAATCTTACGCAATGATAAATGGATTATTTAATACATTATTAACGCAAGTCTTTTGTCGCTAGATATTTGTTTAAGACTCTGCAAACCGAACATATTTTTGAAGGAAGCCTGTCGGCTGAAATTTGTATCATTCTTTCAACCGAGTAAAACATTTTTTTAAAATCCTGCTTATTTATTTTGGGTGCGTACGTAATCCGGCCAGGTGTCTCGGCGGCAGAGGCCAGCGGCTCAACAATCGCACGGTTGTGAGTTCAAATCATGGTTGGGGAGGTATGGACAAAGCCCATCATTCTGCCCTCCGGTGTCAATAAAATAAGTACCACGTTGTGGATACACTTTCCCCCATCATAGGAATGTGGAATTTGCACTTCTGTTCTCAGGGCTGTAAACAGGAGATGAGCACCAATGCCTCAATGTGTCTCATTTGAGCAGGAAATCACTTCGACTTAATTATAACATGCATGCTATGTGTACCCCTTGCATGCATATTCATATATCGTAATGTATATATAATAACGTACATATGTACATGATTGAGTCCTGTATATGTATGCTAAAATGACTGTTCAAGTTTTAAGTGTATAGATAAAAGGACGACCAATGCAGAGATGAAGCGATGAGATCGGCTCAAGTGCAGCAGCGAGAGATGGAGTGTGAACATCGTGAGAGCGATGGTTTCAGCAGTGGCATGGCTTCCATCCAGCAGTGGATAGGTAACAGCTGAAACGATGGGTCGGCATTTTCGTTCATCTTTAAAACAACCCTTCACCAACCCGAACCGACGAGCGTGGTGAAGTATGGTCATATTACCCCCCCCCTCCCACCAACGTCTGGTACGGCATGGGGGAGACCTTCAACCAGCAGTGGCTTGACAACATTTCCTGATTGAGTGGCTCAATTACTCCAGATGGCCGAGTAATTTTTTTACGTAGGCTGCATATTGGTTGCATCTTTGTGTGGATGCTCTGGGCATAATTTGCCCTATTTTTTTTGCCTGAGGTTTTGTTGAAGCGAGTGTTCGTTAGATCGCACGCCTCGTTAATTAAAGGTCTATACAAGTAAAAGAGAAGTGCCTGCCTTCATAATATATACGGTATGCGCATTTAGCCTGCGTTGAAGATAAATAGTGACATTGTAATTTGCAGCCTTTTTTTATCAAGGTCTCATTTTGCCGGGGGTTGATGTACATACGTATCGGAGGCAAATATTTTGGTAAAATTATTTGGTTTAAAATGACAGATTCCTCATTTAGTATTGGCTCTTGGAATCTAGCACGTTTTGAAGCAAATGCACCTGCGTATAACCAGACCGATATTAATACTGTTGATCCACTGCAATGTGGCAGTTGAGCTTCACGCAAATACAAACATTGCCAATTCACTGCTCAAGACCTGCGCTGTCAGCGGTGTTACCAATCGGCATTAGCAGCCCTGTTCTACCCACTGCTGGATGAAGGCCTGCCCTTCGGCATCGCGATGCAGCAAATCCGCCGAGCCTCCCGCACGCTGCGTCCGTTACTCCGACCGCCGGGGCCACGTGTCCCTTTGACGTGACGTGCCCGACCCCAGCAGGTGCCCCGCTGTGCTCGTGTCCATGCGATGGCTGCGTCTCGCGAATGCTCGCTCCGATCCAAGGGGGTTTCCTCTTTTTTTCTGTCTGCTCGGTGCGATCGTTGCGCCTCCACCTTCACCTTCTCCGTGCTGTTGGTGCGCGCCCCCTCAGATTTTGTTCCAATTTAATTGCGGGATGTTTATTTATGATCCGTACATCAAGAGCTGGAAATATGACATGAGCGACCAATTTTACATAAACCAGTTTATGTAGGCATGCTGTATTCTGTAGGCACATTGCACGTGTGTTGATAATCGTTTTGTAATATCCCCCCCCCCCTTCATGCTTCAGGCTCTAGAATAATATGGAGCGGCCCCTACGCTGCCTGCTCCGTAGAATAACACGCAGCAGCCTACACGCTTCGGGCTCCATAGAAAAAAACATGGAGCGTCCTTCCAGCTTAGCCCACGTGTTGTGACAGGGGCCATGGTCATGACGTCACTGGGGGACGTCATGACCATGGCCCCCGTCCTGAAGGTCATACGACCGTGACATTAAATTATTATTTTCCTCATCAATTTCTTTCGTAATTAAATTATACTGTGTCTAGGCACAAGCCTCACTCGGTCTCAAGCTTGTCCCTTTCTGTCGGAGGGCGCTGCAACATAGGGACGTTTGGCCGATTTCCATTATTGATGAGAGATTGGCCTCGCGCGGGAGGGAACTGGAGATACATGGAGTAGACCAAGCCATGTGCATACGACACGGGGGGGCGGGTCGCGCTCAAAGCTCCACACAGGTGGATTTGATTTCCGCTTTTGTTGCACTCCCCATCTCCTATCCACTTCCCAGCCCAAGCCTGCAGCACCTTGTTTTCTGACGCATTCTTCAACCCCAAGTGTGAACCAGGCCCAACTCCCCTGCTCTTGGCTTCTGCGATCCGAACGTCTTGTTGGATCTCGTAATGCACAGGCCCTTTGTCAATCCACGACTGGATGAAGCCCTCTCCACGCCCTGCCATGTGTGGATCTTGTTTTCGCCATACTTCATCACATTGGGTCGTACCGGGTTGGTGAATGGGGGGGGGGGGAGGGTGGTGGGTGAGAGTGGGTCTGGCTCCATTCATTACTCGCCACCGATATTGGCTTTGGCTGGGACTCGAACTCGTGTAGGCACGTTTACAGTGGAGTGCGTGATCTGCTGCGCCACCGCCCCCCCCCCCCCCCCCCCCCCCAGGAATATTTGGTTTGGTCTTAATTCCAGCACGACAGCTGAGAGAACATTCTAAATGAACCGGCGTGGCACACACCATTTATTTATTCATATGATTGACCGCGGCGAGACGCTCCAACGTGCTGCCTGGGCCCGTTGCCGTTCTTTACGCTGCATTACCTGTGGTAGACGTTACCTAAACATACACGGGCGGGGTGTTTTCGATTCGACACTTTATATATACACACACATACACACGTGACCCATGACTTGCGCATTTGCTACGCGTGTCGCTCGACGCCCCAAGACACCTGTGCAAAAAAACGAGACGTCCCATCTGGAGGGGAGCGGGCAGGGAATTAGCCGCTTGAAATGTTTTAATTAAAACAATTTTCTTCTAGTTTTCCTCTCGTCCGCCAAGTCGGTGTGAAGGGACCGGGCGGCGATGCTGGGGTGTGCCGCGATGCAGCGGGAATCTGGGTCGGGGACGCTGACGCTAGACATTGACTGCCGCCCCTTTGGCCAAGGTCGTTTGAATTTCAGACGCTGCGTCACAGCTCGGCGTTACGCGCGCCTCCTTTTTAAGCGGTGCGCGGTCATTTGTATTTTTTTGGTTTTGTGGAAATCTCGGAGCTATTCAAGTGTCAAAAGTTGTAATTTATTTTTAACCGATTGTGAACTTAAGAGATGAGGGCAGTCTCATTTGCAAGATTTAGTGAGTCAGTGAATGCGTGAGAGAATGGATGGTCGAGTGAATGAGTGGGTGAATGGATGGATGAGTTGATGGGAGGTCGAATGGATGAGTGAGGTTAGCTCAAGTTTCAAGCTCCAAGTTTATTTTAGTTTTTAACCGGACGTGAGAACTCAAGAGACCAGGATGAGTCTCGCCTGCAAGATTGACCTGGGTTGCCCAAATGACAATCAATAACAATGAAGTGAATGAAGATCCCCATGCCATATTGGGAAGTGGTGCGCAAGTATTGGATATAAAATGGCTGATGATGATGATGATGAAGATGGAACCGAAGTAGCATTGTTGTTGTAGAGTATACCCCAAGTGTATCGACCAAACGTCACTCGGGAACACTGTTAAAGACTATTATTAAAGGCGCTCGCACAGTGTTGCGTAAGTGACGCATGCAATATCCTTCGCTGTTAACGAGACCAATCGCGTCGCCCCCGTTGAAAAGCGGTGGCATGCGCCCACCCGATCTACCGTGCGAAATTCTCACGTTACACTTCTTTGCACGCAAGCTCGCTCGCGTGATTACATCGAAAATTAATCTCCGCTCGACTCAATGGCCTCTATTCAAAGCCGGCCAAACTCCACACCCCCCCGTCCCCGCATAGAGCGCACAATGCCCAGGGATTAATTTCGGCCACTTCTGTCCGTACCTGGCTCACCATATCAAGTATCTTTCCCGCTGTGGCTACGAGTCGTGCGCCACCTGCTCCAGTCTTATACCAGCGAGCCTCATTGCTGAGCTTGCGTGTTTTCGGGCTCATCGTCTGCCCCGGCTAATACTGCGGGGGTGCTTTAAAGCAATCAAATGCCCTTCTGTCTCCGTCAAAGTGGACGTTGGTCGTCCCCCGTGACGTCGTTTTGAAAGAGGTGGGCCACGCGCCCGCCAGCGTTGCAATCCAAATTTGGCCACGTTGGAAAATGACCCGTGAGGTGGCCTGATGTTTTTTTATGCGGAAACGCGTGGCAACATCGCCTTCCCCTATGACTGTGAAAACTTAGCAGGACCCTCCACGACTCTCCTGGGAAAACGAGCAAAGCTACGATAATAAGAATGGCATGAATACCGAAATGTACCGATTGATTTGTTGACGCGCCCCGTTTTCATTTTTTTGGCTTTTGCAGAAGTCTGTAGCGGACGTGCTCGCATTTTGAATCGCAGCGAAGCTCCCAACCTCCCCTGAGCAGACATGGCAAGCCACGACCCTGGAAGCGCCTTCGTGCAGACGCAGCAGCTGTCGGCATCGCGCGCCGACACATTCCTGGAGCACATGTGCCTCCTGGACATCGACTCGGAGCCCATCACGGCACGCAACACTGGCATCATCTGCACCATCGGTGCGTGCGTGTGTGAGCTGCGCGGCGAAACCGGCGACCTGGGTTTGATTCCCATTTAACGGCCAACACCAATTATCTGAACCTGTCCTGGGCCTCCCCTAGGTCGACTGGGCCTCAAATGAGTACCTGGTGCGGTGTGTAAACATTGCCACGGAGGAGACGAAGGCGGCCGGGTGTGGTGCTGGCCACCCCACCCCCTAGTGTGCCGTGCCAGCCTTCATAACTGCTACTCACGAACAGCACTTGCCCCAACAGTCTGTTAAAGCTACACGGGGGATCTTCGTCTTTGTTTCGTCTTTGCTGCTCAACACGGGATCTCCGTGTGTTCCCCCTCTTCCCTCCGTGGCACAGGGCCTGCATCGCGCTCGTTGGACACCCTGAAGGAGATGATCAAGTCGGGCATGAACATCGCTCGCATGAACTTCTCCCACGGCAGCCACGAGGTGTGCCGCGTGCGGCGCTGTGTGCGGGAACTGCATGCTGCGTGCGTTTCTGTGTGGTGCTACGTGCGGCTTTTATTGTTGTGGGCCTCGTGCGGTTTTGTTGCGCGAGCGCGACACTCCGCGTGTCGCCACTGCGGCGTTGTCGTTGCCGCGTGTCGCGATCCTTCTGCCGCCTGCGTCCGTTGCTGTGGCGTAATCGAGCATTGCGAGCGAGAGCGTTGCACCGCGAACGTTTTATTTTGTCGTGCTTCGTACGCGTTTGTTGTTGTTGTTGTTGCGAGCGCTGCGCCGCGCGTGTGTTTCTCCCGCAGTACCACTCTGACACCATCAAGAACGTGCGCGAGGCCACGGAGAGTTTTGCCGGGAATCCCATCTACTACCGCCCTGTGGGGGTCGCCCTCGACACCAAGGGGCCCGAGATCCGCACCGGCCTCATCAAGGGGGTACGCCTCCACCCACGGACCCCCACGCCCAGGGGATGCAGCAGCAGGAACATGGCCCTTAGTCCACGCATCAAGGGAGTCCACCACCACTAATTTTAATTTGGATAACCTTTCAGCTATGAGAATTCAAATGCTCAGCTTTGTGCGAAGACGATTCGTCCTCTACCTGTGGCAAGGCGGGTGGGAAAGTGCTGCCCTCTTGTGGCGAGGAGGAGAGAGACCCGTGATGTCATCTCCTTCACGCTGCGCTTTGCGAGCTCCGAACGGACACTTAAATTTGGGGAAAAGCCAACACGTGTCAACATCGAGCCCCCTGAATGACAGTTCGCAGGCCGGAGCTGCTGCGCACGCTTTGCCCTACACGCAGGGTCGGCTGCCGCTGGGTGTCCCCTTGGCTAGGCCGCAACAGGGCGAGGGGAAGTTTGGGACGAGACGCCGGGCCCTTGATTGCCCAAATGAAGACTCATGTTGGTTCCCACAATGAGTTCACCCGGTTCACATGAAACACACTTGAACATTTGAAACTTGGGAAGGAACATTTTAAAAAGTAAATGAATGAATGGGCGAATGGCTCGGTAAATTGTATCGTGAATTAATGAGTGAATGAATACATTAATAAGCGATTGAGTAAATAAATGAATTGGCTGTTTTGAATTCACAAATGCTGTGAGTGGATCAATAAACGAGCGACTGGGTGACTGAACGAACGAACGGCTGGACTAATGAGCGAGCGGTGGTGGTGGCGGCGCAGAGCGGCACGGCGGAGGTGGAGCTGAAGAAGGGCGCGGAGCTGAAGGTGACGCTGGACGACGCTTACCAGGACGCGTGCGACGATACCATGGTGTGGCTCGACTACAAGAACATCACCAAGGTCGTGACGCCCGGCAGCAAGATCTTCGTGGATGACGGCCTCATCTCCCTGCTCGTCAAGGAGATCGGTAAAGGAAGGGAGAGCGCGCGCGTGCGCCGACTTCCTCGCCAGTGGCTTTGACATCGGGTGGCGTGGGGGGCGGTGATTGGGGGGGGGGGGGAGGTGATGATGGGCGGGTCGCGTCGAGAGACGGTACGCGTGGCGGCGGCTGTGTGTCGCTAGCTCGGTGGCATCAACGGAGAGATGGGTAATTTAGCACGTAGTCGATTTTCGCGACAAATGGTATTCACAATAAGGGGGATTTTGGGTTGGATCGCGTAAATAGAAATGTGTCCGTTGACCCACCGCGGTCAGTGAATAATGTTTGCCACGTAAACAAAACGTGCCAATTAGTTACTACAGTACTTCAGCACACCCAGTTTGTTGGGAGAGTAAACCCACAACATTTACAATCCGAGTACCATGATGTTTTGGGAACAAGTCTTACCGTTTTCGGTCTTAAACAGAGTAAAGGTGATGTCATCGCTGTGAGCCTACATGTTAAACTGGTAAATGGGGGGGGAGTTGTCAACAGGGCAGAGATGCACGGGGGGGTGGGGTCACACGGGTCACTGGGTCAACGTGTCGGTGATGCACGGGGGGGTCGACTGGTCAATGTACGGCAATAACCCCTCTCTGCGTAGATCTAGGGGGGGGGGGCAGTTTTGCTGCACTTCATGCCAGCTTAGAGCAACGAAAGGGCTTTGACCTCGGGCAGATTAAACGCGCGCGAACTGAGCAGGTAAAGTTCGCGAAGAGGCGCGGCACCGTCGCTGGCAAGGCCAACGGCGGAGTGGCAGCCTGCGGCGAAGGGTTGACCGCAGAGATGGAGCGTTGAAATGGGCTCGTGCGCGAGTGCTTAGGTGTGATCGTTGCATCGCAGGGCTATTATGACATGTCGACAAACTTGGAGGCCTTCACCCAGCAGTGGATTGATTTATGACGCAGGTATACCAGATAAATAAAAAAAGACACCACGTTGATCCGTTACGCCATGCAATCATCAGCACCTATTGCCAAATGCCATTTTAATGATGGTAATAATAATTTAGAGCCCATATTAAACCACTGCTGGATCAAGCCCTGTCTATTTCATTCATAGTGGCTGGTAAATCGTGGTTCATACATTTCTTAGTTTTACCTTTTGTGTAACCAGACCATTTGCAAACTTGTGTGACCTGGGTCACCAGAACGACAAAAGCAACAACACAAAATAGCAAGGGCAACATCCCAAGCAAATAGAAACTGGAGCGAAAAACAACTAAAATGGAAACCGGAGCGTGGTCGAAATTGATGATGAAACGCCGTCGCAGCTGTGCTCACCGCCACTATCCGTCACCCATCGCCCTGCCCCCTCCGCCCTCTTCCAGGCGACGACTACGTCATTACAGAGGTAGAGAACGGGGGGATGCTGGGCAGCCGCAAGGGCGTGAACCTGCCCGGCGCCGCTGTGGACCTCCCCGCCGTCTCCGCCAAGGACGTGCAGGACCTGCAGTTCGGCGTGGATCAGGGCGTGGACATGGTGTTCGCATCGTTCATCCGCAAGGCCGCCGACGTCGAGGAGGTTTGTCTGCCGGCACCGCCCGCCTGCCCGCCACGGACTCTTGCACTTATTAAACTATAAACTAAACTTTTTTTATTTTACCAGGTAAAACCCATCTGAGCTGTGTAGCTCTTTTTCAGAAGCGACCTGGTTATCGCAAACGAAAGCTCAACGAAGCGGTGGCTTATCTCTCCATGTGGAAATTCATAGCAGCAGCCAAATAATCTTAATAACGCATGTTGTGGATTATAAATGTGGAGGGGGGAAAAAAAACCGGAGGACCCGGAGAAAAATTCACGCGACCACGGGGAGAGACATGCAAACTCCAAATATACAGCAGGCGTCAGGGTCGGGATCAAACCCACAACCGGCATACCAGGTGAGGGAGTTAACACCTCTGCACCACAGTGCCTCTTAAATTTGGTGTGGTGGATAAACGCACTCTCTCACTTGGCTAGACCAGGCACTCGCTTCTAACCTTGACGTCGAAAAACCGTGGTCGCTCTTAACCCTGACGCTGGACGTAACACCCGTCGTGCCTAGCCCTCGCGCTTGGTCTAACGCCGACCCTGGCACTGCTGAGACCACAGGCCTGACGCTCGCCCTCGCTCGTACTCATCGCAGCGACGTCCAACCTTGTCACCTAGGTGCGAGCCGTGCTGGGGGAGAAGGGGAAGAACATCAAGATCATCAGCAAGATTGAAAACCACGAGGGCGTGCGCAGGTGTGTGCCGTTTACCGAATCGCGGTCGTGTTCACGATCGTGTGCATGTTCAGCCCTCTGTGGCGTTCCACTGCTGGGTGTGTGTACGCATGTACGCTGAACTTCTTTCGCACCCTTACGAAGCCAACCGTGATAATCGGAGGTGCGGATGACAGCCTCTGCCCACGCGTTGTGCGGGGATGATTGACCATAACTTTCCTACGATGAGGGAAACTGAGTTTATTGTTCACGGTATGGTGACCGAAAGTGGAATTCGATCCGCGAACCTCGGCAGTAGCCGGCGGCTCGGCGTGCCTGACGTGGTCATTCCGAAACCCGAAGTAAACCTCCCCTGGGCTCGTTTCAGGTTTGAGGAGATCCTGGAAGCCAGCGACGGAATCATGGTGGCTCGTGGGGACCTGGGAATCGAGATTCCCGGAGAGAAGGTGTTCATTGCGCAGAAGATGATGATCGGACGCTGCAACCGTGCGGGCAAGCCGGTCATCTGTGCCACGCAGGTGAGGGCCACGGGGGTCGAGGGTCACGGGGCTGGGGGGCCACGGGGCTGGGGGGCCACGGGGGTGGGGGGGCCACGGGGGTGGAGGCGCTGCGGTTGGCACACAGCGCTATGAACCCGACGGGTGGCGATTATCCGAACTGATCCTGGGCCCAGGCCAGACGGTGGCCGTTGAGCCGAAGCGCGTATTTGCGAAAGGTCCTCCTCGCTCTGGTTTGCGTCTCTCGAGTTCCGAGCAACCGCTTGATGGATTTGGCGGCGATTTTTGCTGCAGATGCTGGAGAGCATGATCAAGAAGCCTCGGCCTACGCGCGCGGAGAGCAGCGACGTGGCCAACGCGGTGCTGGACGGCGCCGACTGCATCATGCTGAGCGGGGAGACGGCCAAGGGAGACTACCCCCTGGAGGCCGTGCGCATGCAGCACGCGGTGAGTGAGAGCGAGTGTGTGTGTGGGTGGGTGAGTGAGTGTGGGTGTTGGAACAGTAGGGTGCACAGGTGGTGCATCGTCTCGGTCAGTCAACCTATGGCACTTGCGTCTGTCCTGTGACTTCCTGCCAGCGGGCGTTCGACACTTCACGTGGCCTTAACAGGCACAAAGCCTGGCACAAGCGCCCTGGTGATGTCACCGCCACTTAGTGGCCACTGGCTGTTATTGTTGATGTTGGGAGCGGTAGTGTCGTGGTTATCGCGCTGTGCTGTGATGCCTGCCGGACCCAAGTTCGATTTCTGCTCACGGCCAGCACCAGTGACGATTCTCTTAACTGGTCCTGGGTCTCCGCTAGGTCGACTCAGCCTCAAATGAGTACCTGGAGTGGTGTGTAAACATCGCCACTGGGGAGACAAAGGCGGCCGGGCGTGGTGTCGGCCACCCACCCCCTCGTGTGCTGTACCGGCCTTCGTAGGTGCTCGCTAACAGCACTTACCCCAACAGTCTAAGGCTATACGGGGGATCTTTGTATTTGGTGTTGCTGTAGATTGCCCGGGAGGCCGAGGCGGCTATGTACCACCGTCAGCTGTTTGAGGAGCTGCGGCGGCTGTCGGGCATCACCAGCGACCCCACCGAGACCACCGCCATCGGCACCGTCGAGGCCTCCTTCAAGTGCTCTGCGGGTGCCATCATCGTGCTCACCAAGTCCGGGCGGTGAGTGGTGGTGGTGTTGGTGATAATTGTGACCGAGGCCAGTGGTGGGATGGCGTTGATGATAACAACAACGGCGGAGGTCGTGCTGGTTGTAGTTGTGCTGCTAGTCGTAGCGGCACTAGTGTGGTTGTGCTGGTAAGTGGTGGCGCTGCTGGTGGTTGGTGCGGTCGTGGTTGTGCTGGCTATGGAATTCGTGACAATGCTAGCAATAGCGCATGGCATTTTCTCTCCTACCGGCTGCCCGGTAAACTCGCGTGTGGAGTGTGGCGCGCGCCTGGTTAAACACAGTTCGTGGCGAGGTACGGGGGACATGGTGCGTGTCGTGACGGTGTGGGTCCCCTCCCTCCGGCTGAGACAATCGATCCGTTGTGGCGCGTGCAGCTCTGCTCACCTGCTCTCCAAGTACCGCCCGCGCGCGCCCATCATCGCGGTGACGCGCTGCGGCCAGACCGCGCGCCAGGCGCACCTCTACCGCGGGATCTTCCCCGTGCTGTGCCGCGAGCCGGTCAACGACGTGTGGGCCGAGGACGTGGACCTGCGCGTCAACCTCGCCATGGAAGTCGGTAAGGCTCGCTTCGGTACTCGGGCTTAGCGGGCTTGTTACGAAGTCACCCGACTCCCTCCCTTCTCCACCTCCTCTTGCACTCCCCGTCTACGGAGAATCGATGGGATTGTCGCATTTCTCTCCGCGAGTTGGCGTTGACGGCTTTGTCTCCGTTGTTTTCGTCGGCAGGCAAGTGCCGCGGCTTCTTCAAGCAGGACGACGTGGTGATCGTCGTGACGGGCTGGCGCCCGGGTTCCGGCTACACGAACATGATGCGCGTCATCAAGGTCACATAGAGCGGGGCGGCCAAGCGAGCGCGACAGAGGGGCAGGCGAGCGAGGGGGCACCAAGGAGAGCTGGCGGGTAGAAAATGACGACGCATGCTAAACCGGGGACCAAGTACACTCCAGGGCCGGTTGGCAAAATGACGACGTGGATGGTTTTTTCCTGTGTGTTTTTGTCTAATTTTTTTCTGTTTACTATTTTGTTATTTTCGAGTCCTTGGATATTCTTCGTTCCATCAGAGTGCTTTCATCGGGTGCCGAACGGGACTGTCCAATAATTTCATTGCTCAAATACAGCTTTATCGTTTTAGCAGAGCACTTGCCATTCAGTGCTCTGAGGTCTTGGTCACGTTTCTGTAATTTCCAAAAAGAAAAGAACCAACCAACCAATGTGTGCTCGCTGTGAGCAGCCAAACGTAATAGACAATCGACGCCGACTCTAATGCCGACAAAGCAGCTGTGAAAATATTAATTCTGTACCGTGTACCATGAACTGGCAAAATCTGTCGGACGTGGGACACACGCGTGTAAGGACCGGACTAATTATGTCCGCATGTTTCAAACGGAACTTACACCTACGCAAAATAGTAACACGATATTTCCTCCGGTTAGTTTTTAGGCTAGGTGCTTTACAACGATGGCAAAATGTAAAAAAAAAAACCTGGCTTACTGAATACTCGTAGCCTATGACCAAATCGACCGGAATGCGCCCGAGTCCTGGTCGACCAAGCCGGGTAGAGCCCGCGGGTTGCGTTTTGCATGGTTGACCATCGTGCAACAGGGGTTTTTGGCCAACAGATGGCAGTGCACCAACATCCCCGTTATTCTTTCCCCAACCCTAACCATCGGTGGTCGAATCGCGGGCGAGGGACCCGCGCGGCATCCGGAGGCCCTCGTCCAGCAGTGGATCGGCATTCGTAGGCGGGACAGGGACGGCGGGTTGATGGAAAAACTCGCGATTTGCCGTGGGGCCACGCGTGTGTTGTGAGTGTCGCTCCCGATGGTAGCACTCTGCGTGCGGAAGGCCGCGCTGTTCTCGGCAGACATAACGAGGAAGAGGAGGTCTTGTCTCCTCGATGTTAAAGACAAACGTTTAACTTCAGACGAGTCCCACGCAGCGGCTCTGTCGCTGCCGCCGCCGCCGCTGCCGCTTTGCGTGTTCGTGTGTGCGTGCGTATATATATCCATGTGTGGGCCTTGCAAACGTTAATCTACTGTATCGCGCAAGCACTTAGGCCGGTGTTGGCCACGATATTTTTCTCTCTCTTGGAAACGGCAAAGTTATGAGAAGTACTTTAATGTGTGCACAGCTTGAAATAAAAATGTAAAATGCGAGCTCATTCCAAACACGGCGAGCGCTGCTTTGTGGCTTAAGTTTATTTTTCCAACACGTACAACCACAGGACGGCAATATAAGCAGGTGATTGTTCTCCTGCATAATAGACGTGCTTTTTAAATTTGCCTTCGTGAACCAAGAATCTATATATTTTCTGCCACCAATATATATGCGTAATAGTATAAACGTATAGTCTCGCTTCCCAGCAAAAACCAAGACGCATCTCCCAAAGAAAAAAAACGCGTTCTCCTTCGGGGCATCCACGGACATGAAGGGCATCATCGCTGTCAATGTTGTCGTCTCCTCTTCTTCATTGTGGTGGTGCCAGCACCTGCGCCCCGTATAGCTGAGACAAACGTTGCCACACCGACGGTTAACCCCACGGCGGTTAACCTCCACTCCGGTTAACCCCGCGGTGGGCGGCCACATCTCGGCAGGCTTTACGTAACGGATGCCACGTAAAAAAAACTTGGCTGTAACTCTGGATTTCGCAAGAAAAAGACACATTGTGCTTTTTGTCTTAGTTGAACACTTGAAGATTGTGTGTGTACGGTGGTGGTTGGTGGCGACGGCTGTGGGCTGTGTGTGTGTGTGTTTGCTGTGCTGCTGCAGTGTATTTATTCTCTCTACCCAAGTTCCTCCGCTCACTTCCCCGCACCTGAGTTCACCTCCCCTTCGTCTCCCCCCCCCCCTCAACCCTTCCTCCCTTCCTTCCCTTTGCTTCATCTGCACTGTGCTGCCGTCTCGCCCGGGCTTGTCTTGTCTTGTAAAAGGGAAAATAAAAACCTCCATGTGAGCATGCGTGCACCCCGCGCGTGTTTTGCGTTTCACTCCCGTCTCGCTTCGCGGGCAAGGGTGCGCGCGGCACTGCCCACGCGGAAAAACTTGCGCGGGCAAATTTTTAGTGGAGCAGGTTGGGTGCGTGTTGCCCACAGGAATCATTCCGATTGTGATGCGAGCTTGGTACTTCCGGGGAGAGAAATTCACAAGGGTGGATCCGTTCATAATGAAAACCGTTAGCCTCTTGAAATTCCAAATTGGCACATTTCTCCCTTCCGGAAAACGACCGGGTTGTCTAGTTTCGATTATTTGAAGTGTTTATTTCTATGTTTACGTTCAGTAGCAGATTTGACATGCCCCCCCCCCCCCCAACTTCTAAATTTGTATGCATCACTTGACCAATGTTTATGAGAAGAGGCGAAAAATAATATATGTCCGTGCACCACGAGGGCACACTGGCACTGCTGTGCCACTCGGCACGGGGTGTGGGGTTTTGTGGGCTCCGTGCCAGCTAACGTATTTGTACTCGGAGTGCAGTTATACTTTAGTGTCCCTCGTGCTAACTCGTAAGCCCCGCAATAGTTGGGTAGCTGCACGTGAATCAACACGGATGAGCCAGCTGTGGGAGAGCCGAGCCAAAGATGACGGGGCTTGAGTCGTGTGGTTGGTGTACAGATGGGGGGGGGGGGGTGGGGGGCATCGGTGGCACTGGATGAACGATCTAGTTGGTGTAGGGCAAAGACACGAATCTAGCTGTGTCCCATTCATTTTCGAGATTGAAAACTTCGTTTCTTTAGAACTGTTTTGTGTGTTTTAGTTTGTTGTTCTCCTTCCACCGCACCTCCGATGCAGCACGGTTGGCTCCGTACGGTGCGAAAGAAGTTAAACATACATTCATGAAAGTGCCAAAGGAGTAAATGGTTAAAACCTCGGCCATGAACTATTAATCTCAACCTCTCAAAAGAGCAATTTCTGCTAACTTTAAATCTAAATGGAAGACTGAACGGAGCGAGTGTTGCCGTTAAGCCACCGCAGAGTTCCCGCAGTGCGGAACAAAACGGCAAGCAAATGTTCCTCCGCTTCGCGCTATCGGCGCTTTTACCCATCACCCTGGATACGGCCAGATTGGATGAAGGCGGTGGTACATTCTATTCTGTTTAAGATGGAAGTCACGTTTTTATTTTGCAAAGCAAAATATCACCAAGCATGCAGACTGATGCGCAACAGCGCCACCGAACCACCACGCTACAACGGGTTCAAAAGAGCGCATCGGCTGGTGAAACCGACGCGGTTTATCACCGCGGTGAGTACAAGTCTTCTTCCCAACGGTGCGCGGATGCCTTTTTTTTGTGAGATGGAGGCTCCAGAATCGGCATCGTCGCCCACGACGCAACACGGAATTGTCGCATCGCGGCGCCGACTCGGGAGGTGGCGACGGCTTGGGTGGACCTTGATCCAGCAGTGGTTAGAACGTGGCTGCTGGTGGCTTCTTGTTTACAGGGTGGCGAAGCGGTAGCAATTCTGCCTGGGATTGATTATCCTGGGTTCGATGCCCGAGTGGGGTGCCTTTCCGCGTGAAATTTGTATGTTCTGCTCGTGGTTTTTTCCGCCTTCTCCTCTGGTTCCCTCTGAAAGCGAACAAAAAATACAGACGCAATGTAAACTAAACCACTATTTTATTTTTCCAGGCAAGGCCCATTGAGCTATATATAGCTTTCTCAGAAGCGACCTGGCCACAAATGATAACTCAACGAAGTCACCACGTGGAAATGTATAGCACCCAACGGCGTAGCCATGGAGTCCGCATTGGGCGGGGGACTAAATCTTCCAGAGGATCTGGGGGTCCCCACCCCAGAAAAAAAATTAAATTTGAAAACTAATTTCCTGCCTATAATACTAAAACATTCACTAACACATAGGATGGACTTTTCTTTCGTACAATAATGTCCAAAAGTGTTATTGTATTACATTGCTCTGTTTTTTTTATTTTTTTTACCTTTTCTTGTTTCATTGTATGTAATGGCAGAGATTAGGGATTCATAAAGTACAACCATAAACCACAATAATATAAATTTTGATTTAAAGCTTTCGTGACTGCAGTAATTCATATTCTTAGCTCTTTTGGTAAAGTCACGTTATTTTATTGTTTCCCTTCAACGTGACTTTACCGAAAGAGCTAAGAATACACAATGATATAAACAAAAATCTATTTTATAGTAATATATTGGGGGGGCACATTTTGAGTATTTTAATATTGGGGGGGGGGGGTGTCCCCAATATACAGTGAGGGAAAAAAGTATTTGATCCCCTGCTGATTTTGTACGTTTGCCCACTGACAAAGAAATGATGTCTAAAATTTTAATGGTAGGTTTATTTGAAAAGTGAGAGACAGAATAACAACAAAAAAATCCATAAAAACGCATGTCAAAAATGTTATAAATTGATTTGCATTTTGAGGGAAATAAGTATTTGACCCCCTCTCAATCAGATTTCTGGCTCCCAGGTGTCTTTTATACAGGTAACGAGCTGAGATTAGGAGCACACTCTTAAAGGGAGTGCTCCTAATCTCAGCTTGTTACCTGTATAAAAGACACCTGTCCACAGAAGCAATCAATCAGATTCCAAACTCTCCACCATGGCCAAGACCAAAGAGCTCTCCAAGGATGTCAGGGACAAGATTGTAGACCTACACAAGGCTGGAATGGGCTACAAGACCATTGCCAAGCAGCTTGGTGAGAAGGTGACAACAGTTTGTGCGATTATTCGCAAATGGAAGAAACACAAAATAACTGTCAATCTCCCTCGGCCTGGGGCTCCATGCAAGATCTCACCTCGTGGAGTTGCAATGATCATGAGAACGGTAAGGAATCAGCCCAGAACTATACGGGAGGATCTTGTCAATGATCTCAAGGCAGCTGGGACCATAGTCACCAAGAAAACAATTGGTAACACACTACGCCGTAAAGGACTGAAATCCTGCAGCGCTCGCAAGGTCCCCCTGCTCAAGAAAGCACATATACATGCCCGTATGAATTTTGCCAATGAACATCTGAATGATGCAGAGGTAAAACTGGGTGAAAGTGTTGTGGTCAGATGAGATCAAAAGGGAGCTCTTTGGCATCAACTCAACTCGCTGTGTTTGGAGGAGGAGGAATGCTGCCAATGACCCCAAGAACACCATCCCCACCGTCAAACATGGAGGTGGAAACATTATGCTTTGGGGGTGTTTTTCTGCTAAGGGGACAGGACACCTTCACCGCATCAAAGGGACGATGGACGGGGCCATGTACCGTCAAATCTTGGGTGAGAACTTCCTTCCCTCAGCCAGGGCATTGAAAATGGGTCGTGGATGGGTATTCCAGCATGACAATGACCCAAAACACACGGCCAAGGTAACAAAGGAGTGGCTCAAGAAGAAGCACATTAAGATCCTGGAGTGGCTTAGCCAGTCTCCAGACCTTAATCCCATAGAAAATCTGTGGAGGGAGCTGAAGATTCGAGTTGCCAAACGTCAGCCTCGAAACTTTAATGACTTGGAGAAGATCTGCAAAGAGGAGTGGGACAAAATCCCTCCTGAGATGTGTGCAAACCTGGTGGCCAACGACAAGAAACGTCTGACCTCTGTGATTGCCACCAAGTACTAAGTCATGTTTTTCAGCGGGGTCAAATGTTTATTTCCCTCATTAAAATGCAAATCAATTCATAACATTTTTGACATGCGTTTTTCTGGATTTTCTTGTTATTCTGTCTCTCACTGTTCAAATAAACCTACCATTAAAATTATAGACTGATAATTTCTTTGTCAGTGGGCAAACGTACAAAATCAGCAGGGGATCAAATACTTTTTTTTTCCCTCACTGTATATTATAATTAACGGCCTTGATAGCACCCAATTACTCCACAGGCGTGTTTTGAAATGTGGAGGGGAAAACAACCGGAGGAGGACCCGGATAAAAGTTGTCGCGACCACAACACAGCAAACTCCAAATATATTACAGGCGTCAGGGTGGGAATCGAACCCAATGAGACCGCCTGCGTACCACGAGCTAACGCCTCGCCACGGCGGCGGCCCATGCGACTTGTATCGGCCAGACCACCCCCAATCCCAATGCTGGAAATCGTCCTAGCGAAGGACCCCACTGCGATCGCACAGAGAAAGCCGCGACGTCGGCGGAAGCTTGGCAGAGGGCGCCCCCGGGGCTCGTCGATGCTTTCCTGGGTGAACGCGCGATCTCAACCGACGACGTTTGTATTTGTGTCCGAGGTCGGACAACTGCAGGGCCGAATAGAGCCGCGATTTAACAATAGTATTTTATCCCTTCAAGGCAATAAACCGTGAGGTGTTAAGATGTTAAAACAGCAAACAGAATACTTTTTTTTCCCCAAGGAATCCTATCTGCATTAGCCACCACGTACTTGTGGTGAACACGCAAACACGCTCTGGTAATATTTGGCATTATCTTTGAAACTGATTGGCCTGCATTAGAGACAGCCTTCTTTATGGCCCATTATCACCAGTATGAGACCGGAGAGCAACGCCGAAAGGCGAACAGTACAAAGACATTTCACGTTAAAGGTCATTTATAGCTAGGGGTGAGTAGAACCCATATTAGAGCCGTGGTTGTCTGCGCAGTGAGGGGCTCGTTTAAAAAAAAAATGTTTTGGCGACTTTCAGATTCTCATGTGATCCTCCACTCCGCAGCACTATGCGAGTCTATGGGTCCCTGTGTAAATCAATGGGTCTCTCTATGCGAGTCTATGGGTCCCTGTGTAAACCAATGGGTCTCTCCATGCGAGTCTATGGGTGCCTGTGTAAATCAATGGCTCTCTCTATGCGAGTCTATGGGTCCCTGTGTAAATCAATGGGTCTCTCCATGCGAGTCTATGGGTCCCTGTGTAAATCAACGGGTCTCTATGCGAGTCTATGGGTCCCTGTGTAAATCAACGGATCTCTATGCGAGTCTATGGGTCCCTGTGTAAATCAATGGGTCTCTCTATGCGAGTCTATGGGTCCCTGTGTAAATCAATGGGTCTCTATGCGAGTCTATGGGTCCCTGTGTAAATCAATGGGTCTCTCTATGCGAGTCTATGGGTCCCTGTGTAAACCAATGGGTCTCTCCATGCGAGTCTATGGGTCCCTGTGTAAATCAATGGGTCTCTCTATGCGAGTCTATGGGTCCCTGTGTAAGTCTATGAGTCTTCGTGAGGCTGTGGGTGTGTATGCAAGCGTATCCAATCAAAACATTATTTGGCGATGCTGCTGTGTTAGCGGCGCAAAATGACAAACGCTCAACACATTCGTTAATAACATTGGTTATGTAAGTCTGTGCTTAAACGTGATTTTACATACGCCTATGAGTTCCTACGTAAAGTTACGCAAGTCACAGTTTGTTTAACAGGTTATGTCGGTACAGTGTATGGGTAGTATGTGACGATGGTTGTTTATGTAAGCCTACGGTCTCTATGTAAGTCTATGGATCTGTATGTATGGGTCTGCGGGCCTATGGGTCTGTATATATATCCGCACATGGGAATAGAGGTGGGACATATTTTTGTAACTGATTTTCGCGCCATCCGATTGGTGGATCAATTGAATTGATAATCGATGTAGTAATGAAATCCAGTACATAATCGGATATCCCAGCTCTACAGGGACTCCCCAACTTACAAACATTCGACTTACGAACTTTCAAAGATATGAACAAACCTGGTCCGTATGTCAAATTGCCTATTCGGACCGAGAGTCCGTAAGTTCAACCACCGCGCAATAGATGGCGGTGGTGGTACATCTGCAGAACATGAAGAAGCAGTGGCATCTACATCTACAGAATATGAAGAACCAGTGGCATCTACATCTACAGAACGTGAAGAAACAGTGGCATCTACATCTACAGAACATGAAGAATCAGTGACATCTACATCTACAGAACGTGAAGAAGCAGTGGCATCTACATCTACAGAACACGAATAACCCGTGACATATACGTCCACAGCAGATGATACAAATTTTAATAGCATTTACCGTGTTTAGTGTACACGGCGTACAACATGTTTGGAATCAACAGGAGTAGTTGGACTTTCGAACAAATCGACTTACGAACAGACCTCTGGAACCTAACTCGTTCGTAACTAGAGGAGCCCCTGTACTTGGTTATGAATGACTACCACGTACACACACACAGAGGTTCATTCATTTTGTCACGAGGGTCCTGCAACGTTTTTTGCAGTCGCGGGGGCGATTATTGCCATGTTGAATAATTGAGTAATGTACGATTACATTTTCAGCATTGTTTGCTTATTTGGTTGCGGCGTGCTCACGGTTAATACGACCGCAGGTATTAACCAGGGGGCCGCCGCTGTAATTCGAACCGTGGAGTCTCTGCAACAACGACGGCCACATCATCACCGCCCGTCTCACGCAGCGATGAGAAGATGCCTGAATGTTTAAAAACCGGTCCAGAGTTTGGCTTTGTTGCTGAAATTACGCACTCCCAGAAGGTTAATGGGACGTGTATATTTTTAAAAAAACTATACATAATTATATATATTTTTTTAGTGGAGGGCTATATATATGTGGGGATCATGCTTATCGTGTATATTTTCCACGACGATGATACAGTCAGCGTCGTGGTACTCATTTTCTGTGGCGGGGGTGAGAGAGATGGCTGGCGCCTTCAATAATTGAACAGGGTAATATGACACCGGCTTAACCTTTGTGTGCGTGTGCGTGCAACGTTCAGTGAGTGAGTGGGGCCGTGCATGGATTATTCAGAGGGCGTGGGGGTGTGGTAATGGGGTATAATGGAGGGCTAAATGAACGAAGCTCACAACAATGAGCGGAGCGACCGGGCCGGCTAAAACGCAACAAATTTGGCACAGTCTGGAGCACAGGTGGCGCATCTGGCGGTCATCTCAGGTCAAGGTCAACCCCAAATATCTGGCTGGGTCTGTCTCGCGTGACCTGCCAGAGAGCCTTCCACACCACACGTGGCCTCAAGGTGCACCTAGCCTGGCACAAGCTGCCGTGATGACGTCGCGGTCAATAGCGGAAAGGCGGTTGTTGTGTATACGGGCGGCATAGGTGTGCATGTCTATGGATGTCCGTCTGCGTATGGATATACAGTACTGCATTTTTTTGTAAACGTGGGGAGCGGTGGTGCAGCGGTTAGCGCACTGCGCTACGAACCCGGCGACCCGAGTTCGATTCCCGCTCACGGCCAACACCCAGTGACGATTGTCTGACACCTGTCCTGGACCTCGGCTTGTTGTAAGCATTTCCGCAAGGCAGACAAAGACGGCCGGGCGTGGTGCTGGCCACCCACCCGTTTTCGTGTGCCGTTCCGGCCTTCATAGGTGCTCGCTTACAAGCACTTGCCCCAACAGTCTGTTACAGGCTATATTGGGGGGATCTTTGTCTTGTTGTATTTCAGGAAATGCAAGGATGTTGCATGTCTGTGGCTGCCTCTGGGTGTTGTAACGCCGCCTTAAAATTAATAATATATAACAGGCGACGTTCCGACCAAAGACTTCACAAAAAATATTCTCGTATTCCAGCTGATGACCGATACAACTGGTGAATATATGAGCCGGTCCTGGGCCACGCCTAGGTCGACTCAGCCTTAAAATAAGAACTGTACCTGCTGCGGTGTATACACTCCCTCGTGTGCCGTGCCGGCCTTGGTAAGTGTTCGCCAGCAGCACTTGCCCCAGCAGTCTATTGCGGCTACACGGGGGATCTTTGGCTGTGTTTCTCTATGGGGGAGTTGCGGGGTGCGGTCACGCTCCCCGTGATTCAGCCGGGATCCCGGCACACACAGAGAGAGAGAGGAGGAGGAGGGAGGGAGCTGTGTGAGGAGAGAGAGCGTGAGAGAGAGTGCAGAGAGAGCGGAGAGAGAGAGCGGAGAGAGCGTGAGAGAGAGTGGAGAGAGAGCGTGAGAGAGAGTGGAGAGAGAGCGTGAGAGAGAGTGGAGAGAGAGAGCGGAGAGAGAGTGGAGAGAGCGCGGAGAGAGCGCGTCAGAGAGAGAGTGGAGAGAGAGAGCGTCAAATAGAGAGAGAGGAGAGTGGAGAGAGCGTCAGAGAGAGAGAGAGCGGAGAGAGTGGAGAGTGAGCGTCAGACGGAGTGGACGGGGAGAAGAGAGAGAAGAGAGACAGAAGCGAGACAGAAGCGAGAAGAGTGAGCGAGGAGGCGCTGACTCAATCCTGCAGCAGTCCAGGTCAGCACCACCCTGCAATGTACCCAATGCACTACTCTCTCGTACAAGCCATCAAACCTTAGTGTTTGTACAATAACGCTGCCTGGCGGCTCTGGTGTTTATAAAACATCGAGTTTTTAGAGGCCTTTCCGAAGTTGACCGTTGGGTGAAGGGCCTGGAACGGTCGTTTGACCATACTTCACCCCGTCGGTCGGTGCTGTGTTGGCCGAGGAGCGACTCTGACTCAATACCGATTTGCTATCAGCGGCCGGGAATTGAACTTGGGTTGGGGGGGGAGGGTTGTGGTGGTGGTAAGGTTGTGGTGGTGGTAAGGTTGTGGTGGTATTGTGGTAAGGTTGTGGTGGTGGGGTTGTGGTGGTAAGGTTGTGGTAGTGGTATTGTGGTGTTGTTGTGGTAAGGTTGTGGTGGTAAGGTTGTGGTGGTAAGGTTGTGGTGTGGTGGTGGTGTTGTGGTTGTGGTGGTGTTGTTGTGGTGGTAAGGTTGTGGTGGTGGGGTTGTGGTGGTGTTGTGGTGGTGGTAAGGTTGTGGTGGTGGTGTGGTGGTGCTGGGGTTGTGGTGGTAAGGTTGTGGTGGTGTTGTGGTTGTGGTGGTGGTGTTGTGGTGGTGGTAAGGTTGTGGTGGTGGTGTGGTGGTGGGGTTGTGGTGGTTGTGTTGTGGTGTTGTTGTGGTGGTAAGGTTGTGGTGGTGTGGTGGTATTGTGGTGGTAAGGTTGTGGTGGTGCTGGGGTTGTGGTGGTGTTGTGGTGGTGTTGTGGTGGTGTTGTGGTGGTTGTGGTGGTGTTGTTGTGGTGGTAAGGTTGTGGTGGTGGTGTGGTGGTATTGTGGTGGTAAGGTTGTGGTGGTGGTGTGGTGGTGGTGGTGGTGTTGTTGTGGTGGGGTTGTGGTGGTGGTGGTGTTGTGGTGGTGTTGTTGTGGTGGTAAGGTTGTGGTGGTAAGGTTGTGGTGGTGCTGGGGTTGTGGTGGTGGTGTTGTGGTGGTGGTAAGGTTGTGGTCGTGGTGTGGTGGTATTGTGGTGGTAAGGTTGTGGTGGTGCTGGGTTTGTGGTGGTGCTGAGGTTGTCGCGGAAGCGCGCTAACCGCTGCGCCACCGCTCACCGCCTCACCATTAACACTGCGACACTTCTTAACCGGCGGTCGCAACGCGTCGCTTCACCATGCACCTGTCACCCGCACCGCCTGAGTTCGACTCGAGGGCCACCACGCTCGAGATGATCAACTCCGAACCCGGTATCGTGCACACCGGAGTGGTGAAGTATGGTCAAACGTACGCCACGATCGGGGGGAAAGGTCATTCATTCAGCAGTGGACTTTTTAATCGTGCCAAATAAATAATAATCATAATAATGTTGTTATGTTTCGCATGGTAGATTATAGTAACTTGCAGTGTCAAATCATACGGGTTAACCCCGTAGTCTTGTGCAGGGAAATTGATTTTTCACGTCCATACTGCGTACAGCAAAAAAAAACATGTTTACAGTATTTGTGTTTCTCTCCTTGTGACGGGACTTTGTAGGATGAAGTTGAGATTTATAAGGTCGTACGGGGTGACTTGGTGTGTAGTAATAAGGGGTTGACCAGGTGTGTTAGTAACTACTAAAGAGAGTCTTAATACGGTACAATAAGACGGATGTTGCCTCGCGTTGTTAGCGATAAGCTATTGCAGCGCCTAGGTAGGCTTACATTATTCCCATACAGTGTACACACTTCACGCACATGTATTCCGCACTTAATAACACTCGTGTACTGTACACGTAGCGACACACACGTACAAAGACAAAGGATCCCCCTGTGTAGCTTCTAACAGACTGTTGGGGCAAGTGCTGTTTGCGAGCACTGTGGCACACGAGGGGGTGGTGGGTGGCCAGCACCGCGCCCGGCCGCCTTTGTCTCCCCCCCAGTGGCGATTTTTTTTTTCCACAGCGCACCAGGTACTCATTTGAGGCCGAGTCGACCTAGGGCGGGGGGCCCAGGACCGGTTCAGACAATCGTCACTGGCGGTGTTGGCCGTGAGCGGGAGTCGAACTCGGGTCGCCGGGTTCGTAGCGCAGCGTAGCGCTAACCGCTGCACCACCGCTCCCCACGTGTTAAAAACAAATGCAGTACTGTAAATTCATACGCAGACGGACATCCATAGACATGCACACCTATGCCGCCCGTATACACAACAACAACAACCGCCTTTCCGCTATTGACGGCGACGTCATCACGGCAGCTTGTGCCAGGCTAGGTGCACCTTGAGGCCACGTGCGGTGTGGAAGGTTCTCTGGCAGGAGGTCACGCGAGACAGACCCAGCCAGGTATTTGAGGTTGACCTTGACCTGAGATGACCGCCAGATGTGCCACCTGTGCTCCCCACTGTGCCAAATTTGTCGCGTTTTAATCCGCCCCGGTCGCTCCGCTCGTTGTTGTGAGCTTCGTTCCTTTAGCCCTGCATTATACCCCATTACTACACCACACATCCTCTTACCGCTACACCACCGCTCCCCACGTTAATACACAAAACACACACACACACACCGTTACCAATAACAACGCGCAGCCGCCTTTGTCTCCCCAGTGCTGATGTTTACTACACACCGCGCCGAGGTACGGTACTCGTTTGAGGCTGAGTCGACCTAGAGGGGGGGGGGGCGTGTGCCCAGGACCGGGAGTGTACTCACACACGCACACTTCCCCAAATGCTGCCTTGTGGTGTAAGATGCACGCTAGCTACGGTCACAATGTCTTTGCCAAACCACTCCTGCGCCCTCCCCCCCACAATAGAGATGGAAGCGATGCTGCAAGCCCTGTGCGTCGTCATCAGCCTCGTCGGAGCCTCCGTCTCTCAAGATGCCAGTTTGACACCCAGCCCAGGTGAGATGCAGCCCGGCCTGCCGAATAAAAACCCCGGGACATTGCCCCACCTGGATCTCGGTAGGCTTTGCGCTCAGATAATTGCTCGTGTGGTTGTTTGCAGGCCGGGGTTGCGATGCGGGTCAGGAGATGGCGGTGGGTTGTTGCGTCGATCTGTGTGGAGCTTTGAGTGGTATCCCTCCCCACCCCACCTCTGCCCTCCCCCCCACCCCGCATTTAGTGTGGGGAGGTTTTCTCGCACGCTCGTTTGGAAATCGGCCAAACATCCCCATGTAGCAGGACCCTCTCCAGAAATGTTCTTGGGACTCAAACCGTGGATTTCCTGGGTCAAAGGTTAGGCAAATGTGAGTGGCAATGAAAAGGTCGCCCCCATTGTTTGAACCACCTCCAGCAATTCCACGTTGCCATGGCGTAAGAGCCACAAGTACATCCAAGGCGTAACCGTTTTGCCCACCGCGTCCAGATTTTTTCCCGTGGGGGCGAGTCCCTTGTGGCAATACAACTGTACATATGATAGGACGTGTGACTGTGGTGTGCTAGTGGAGTTGGTGTGTCATTGGAGTTGGTGTGTCAGTGGAGTTGGTGTGCAAGTGGAGTTGGTGTGCCAGTGGAGTTGGTGTGCCAGTGGAGTTGGTGTGCCAGTGGAGTTGGTGTGTCAGTGGAGTTGGTGTGTCAGTGGAGTTGGTGTGCCAGTGGAGTTGGTGTGCCAGTGGAGTTGGAGTGTCAGTGGAGTTGGTGTGCCAGTGGAGTTGGTGTGCCAGTGGAGTTGGTGTGTCAGTGGAGTTGGTGTGCCAGTGGAGTTGGTGTGCCAGTGGAGTTGGAGTGTCAGTGCAGTTGGTGTGTCAGTGGAGTTGGTGTGTCAGTGGAGTTGGTGTGCCAGTGGAGTTGGAGTGTCAGTGGAGTTGGTGTGTCAGTGGAGTTGGTGTGTCAGTGGAGTTGGTGTGTCAGTGGAGTTGGTGTGTCAGTGGAGTTGGTGTGCCAGTGGAGTTGGTGTGCCAGTGGAGTTGGTGTGTCAGTGGAGTTGGTGTGCCAGTGGAGTTGGTGTGTCAGTGGAGTTGGTGTGCCAGTAGAGTTGGTGTGTCAGTGGAGTTGGTGTGTCAGTAGAGTTGTTGTGTCAGTGGAGTTGGAGTGTCAGTGGAGTTGGAGTGTCAGTGGAGTTGGTGTGTCAGTGGAGTTGGTGTGTCAGTGGAGTTGGTGTGCCAGTGGAGTTGGTGTGTCAGTGCAGTTGGTGTGTCAGTGGAGTTGGTGTGTCAGTGGAGTTGGTGTGTCAGTGGAGTTGGAGTGTCAGTGGAGTTGGTGTGCCAGTGGAGTTGGTGTGTCAGTGGAGTTGGTGTGTCAGTGGAGTTGGTGTGTCAGTGGAGTTGGTGTGTCAGTGGAGTTGGTGTGTCAGTGGAGTTGGTGTGTCAGTGGAGTTGGTGTGCAAGTGGAGTTGGTGTGCCAGTGGAGTTGGTGTGCCAGTGGAGTTGGTGTGTCAGTGGAGTTGGTGTGCCAGTGGAGTTGTTGTGTCAGTGGAGTTGGTGTGTCAGTGGAGTTGGTGTGTCAGTGGAGTTGGTGTGCCAGTGGAGTTGGTGTGCCAGTGGAGTTGGTGTGTCAGTGGAGTTGGTGTGTCAGTGGAGTTGTTGTGCCAGTGGAGTTGGTGTGTCAGTGGAGTTGGTGTGTCAGTGGAGTTGGTGTGTCAGTGGAGTTGGTGTGTCAGTGGAGTTGGTGTGTCAGTGGAGTTGGTGTGTCAGTGGAGTTGGTGTGTCAGTGGAGTTGGTGTGTCAGTGGAGTTGGTGTGTCAGTGGAGTTGGTGTGTCAGTGGAGTTGGTGTGCCAGTGGAGTTGGTGTGTCAGTGGAGTTGGTGTGTCGAGGTGGCCCAGCGGTAGAGCGAGCGGCTCGCAATCGGGAGGCCGTGAGTTCAAACCCCGGTTGCGGGAGGGGCTTACTCACGCACGGTCTCATCCAGCAGTGGAACAGCTGCCGTTAACCGGCTCTCTTCGTCCCAGCCTCGTGGTGATTTCCCGGCCACGCCGTGCTCTCTCGGGTCGTACCGCGCGCTGTTCATCGGCACGACGTCCGACGTTTCGCCCTGGGACCTTCTTGGGGAAACTGACTTGATCGAGCCGCCTTGTTCCCCCCGGTCACCACGCCGCGCTCCTGCCAGCCGCCCCGTCTCTGCCGACACCTTTTTATTCCCCCCTCTTCGCTCCGCAGCGCCGTCCGCCGCCGCCGCCGTCGTCGTCGCGACCCCCGACCTCATCCTGTGGAAGAACTCGTCGCTCGCGCTGCTCGAGTGCCGCCTCGTGCCGTCGGGCGACGAGGTGGTGGCTCGCTCGTGGCTCCACAATGGCTCGAAGATCCACGGCGACTGGGTGCCGAGCAACTACATGAACCACACGTGAGTCACGGCCGCACGATCGAGGTTGTTCTTTAGCTCGCCGCGCCGACGTGCCGTCCGTCCGGTCGTGCCGTCGGGGTTGTGCCGCTGTGCGTCTGCCCAGCGGGATGCTCCACCGGAGGACCCGCCGTAGTAACGGGACGGCCGACACCTGGGTTCGATCCCAGAAGCTCGGCGGTGACGTCTCGCTGCTCGTGAGAAGCTGTTGCTGGGGGTGCGTCGATTCACCCTCCACACCTCCCAGTCATGGAAATTTATTATCGGGGAGCCCTAGTTGTACTCTTTGGTTCTATTCGGTAAAGTCACGTAGGTAAAAATAAAACAACAAAAATCACGACGTTTCGGCCACAACACAAGTAGCCTTCATCAGGTGAAGAAACAGGACTGTCCAGAAGACAGCGCTTGAGTGAACACTGCCATGCATGGGCCGCGTCTTTTAAGCTGTGTGGGAGGAACAGAGCGCCTTGACAAAGGAGTTGTTGTTTTATTTTTACCTTCGTGACTTTACCGAATAGAACCAAAGAGCATGGATCCTTGCAGTCACGAAAGCCTCAAATCTAGAAGCCCTAGTTGTACCGCGCGATGTCCGACGTTGTGCTGCCCGTGCTGGATGAGAAGCAACAGTCGGTCTGGAAAACCGATTCCTCCGCATGGATTGACGAATCGGCGAGCGGTAGTTGGTCGTAGCGACAGAAGAGTGATGATGAGGCGACTGACCACTGGAGCAATGAGTTCATCTCGGACGCACTCGAGTTTTAAGAAGTCACGGTTTGCACGCAGCGAGAGTACACGAGACTGGTGGTGGAATCGCATCCAATGGGGCTGAACACGCCCCAGAAGTATTCTTAGCTTTTTCGGTAAAGTCACGTTGAAGGGAAACAATAAAATAATAAAATATATATAAAACAATAAAAATTCTCACGACGTTTCGACCATAACACAAACCAACACACCTGAAGACGACCGTTTGTGTTATGGTCGAAACGTCGTGAGAATTTTTATTGTTTTAGATATATTTTATTATTTTATTGTTTTCCTTCAACGTGACTTTACCGAAAGAGCTAAGAATATGAATTACTGCAGTCACAAAAAACTTTAAATAAAAATTTACGCCCCAGAAGGCCGGACAACCATGCAGACGTGGCCATCTCCGGAACGGTCTCGCTTGATCGAGGGCGAGAGCTTGGGAAGGCCTTCATCCAGCAGTGGACAGACCGCGGCGCGCGCTGGCGATGACGCCGACGATGACAAGCACGTGTTGTGTTGACCCGCGATGTTGCCCTTGGCTTAGCTCTCCTTGTCGCGCCACGACGCCGCTCAGCTGCACCTGGCACCGTTGTGTCAACACAGTTTGGCCATATTTTGGCAACCGCCGTTAATTGCTGCCAAGCCAAAACTAACTCATCCGGTTTTTCGCATTGCTTACATTTTTTTATTTTTACCCAATGTTGTACAAGAGACGAGGAGTCCTCTCCCCCAACACGACCTTTGGCAGAAGGCCGCGTTGCAAAGTCTGCGTGTACGAAACCGCGAGGGCGCAACCCGTGGCATGGGTGACCAATCGCAGGCCTGCGCCAAGTGCTACAATGACACTCACTGTTGTAATCTCCGCGGCCCGCCGTGCATTTGGAGTTCCCGTCGTCACAGTGGTCGGCGTCGTAACGTCGCCTCGTCGAAAGGGTAGAAGGAACACCGGCTCGAACTTTGTCCGGAACGTTGTGGCTGTCTCTCATCGTCGGCGTCGGCTGCCGGTAAACTTTACACAGCCGGGCCCTCCACAATGGCCGTTGATGCGGCCGTTCTTGTGCTTTCAGCGTCCGGAGCTTGCTCGAGGCCGGCGCTTACACCTGCTACTTCGGTGGCAAACACAACTCCTGGAACGCAACCGTTCTGGTCAAAGGTGAGCGGTCACGAGATTCAGGTACGGTCGGTCTTCGAATTATCCGGCGCACCGATTGTCCGACTGCTTCCAACATTTATCCGGTGGTCCCAGGCCGATCCGGTGACACCGGCAAACCGCTCCAAAGGCGTTAAACAGTCTGGCGATCGGCAGCTCTGTGTGTAGCGTTACAACTAAAAACGTAGCTCTGCTTGATTTCAGTGTTAAATCATACATACGGCGCATTATGCACTACATACAACTTAAACAATGAAAATACTGCACGTTTATGCATCGCCCCATGCAGAATCTGCGAGATTAGAGTGGTAAGTATGGTACAGTAAATACAGTAACTTTTTAAAGTAGGATATGTATTTTTGTGTATTTGTTTATTCGTGCCAATTTCATCTCGTAAACTAATTTTAAAACGCACCAAAAATATAACAGCACCTAAAAACATAACGTCATACAAGAATGTGTCAAAAAAATAAGCTACTTTAAATAATGATGATCGGTGATTATCCACCGTTTTTTAAAATCTCTCCCGAAGCCGCTGGATAATTGGCAAACTCCTGCATCACGTGCGTAATCGGCAACACTTTTCGTGTGCCGTGCCAGCCTCAATAGGGTTGCTCGCTAACAGAACTGGTCTGTTAAGTCTACACGGGCGATCTTTGCATAGATTAAAAAATGTCGACCCCTGCTTTGCAAGCGCAGCGCTCGCCATCGTCCCCCAATGCGAGCACTGGCGGGGTGGCGTTTGAAACGATGGGGCAGAGTTTTTTTAAACCCCCGCCACCGCCCCCATCCGCACCGCCTCTGTCCTCCGAGCGGCTTAAATGGGGACGCCGAAGTCGATCGGCAGGTCGCTTGTGGTGGGGTAAAATGTGGGTACTCCCACCCATGGAAGAGTAGGCCAAATTACCCTCCGCTAGAGGGGGCTGTCGCTCTCCAGAGCTCCCTCTCGTCGAGGCCCTTCCAGTGGCGCCGTTAACTTTTGCAACAAAGCCAAAGGTGCCCCCCCCCCCCACCGTGTAGCGTCCGAACAGGCCGTCGGGGGCAAGTCGCTCGCCCTGCCGCGGCGCTGACTGCCCCCTTCCCCGCGTCGCTCTGCTCGCAGCCGCCCCCCAGTTCGAGGCGGTGTCGGGGGTGGGCAAGAAGGAGCACAAGAAGGAGCACAAGAAGGAGCACAAGGACCACAAGAAGGAGCGCAAGCTGTCGGCGTACATCGGCCACAAGGCCGTGATCAGCTGCCACCTGGCCTTCGAAGGCTTCCCGGCCCCGACCTGGACCTGGTTCAAGCAGTCTGCGGATAAGAAGACGCTCACGGTGAGTGGACGTGCGAGCGAACGAGGACGAGGTCGGGCACCTGGCCGGCCTTTCCCAGAATCCCCCCCCACCCCCCCCCCCCCCCCCCCCCCCCGAACTCTTGGTGAGTGAGGCAGCTTGCTGCTCCAGCTGCCCGCCGGGCAAATCTGTCGGTTGTGTAATAATAATTATAATAAAAATTATGATGATAGTATTAATTATAATATATCCCACTCAATGGATTTGCATGTGGGTCTCCCCTTCTCTGGCACTGTGAGATATTCATCTTCTTTCCATGATGTGTCCCAGGGTTTGAATCTCGGAGGCGGTAACCCTACGCACAGGGTGCGTTTGGTGAGGTCTTTAACACAGAGATACGTATAAGGTGGGTGGGTTTTGGGTGGGTGGGATGGGTGGGTAGGTAGGTGGGTGGATTTTGGATGAGTGGTAGGTGGGTCAGTGGGGGTGGGTGGGTGAGATTTCGGTGGGTGGTACGTAGGTGGGTGTGTCAGTGGGTGGGTGGGCGCCGGATGTCTTTGACATCATCATGAAGGTGATCATGACGCTTACCGTGATCCTGGTGATGACGATCAACAGTGATGCTCATAGCGATGACGCTCATGATAATGCTGATGCTTTTTTCGATTTAAAGCTTTTGTGACTGCAAGGATTCATCTTCTTTGGTTCTTTTGGTAAAGTCACGTAGAATGAGAATAAAATAATAAATTGATAAAATAAAATAACACAATAATATTCTCACGACGTTTCGGCCACAACACAAGCGGCCTTCATCAGGTGAAGGGACAGTGCTGGAGTGAAAAAGGCACGCTCAGATCACGACCTTTAAGGTCGTGATCTGAGCGTGGCTTTTTTTTTAAGGTCGTGATCTGAGCGTGGCTTTTTCACTCCAGCGCTGTCCTACCAGACAGTCTCGTCCCTTCACCTGATGAAGGCCGCTTGTGTTGTGGCCGAAACGTCGTGAGAATATTATTGTGTTATTTTATTTTATCAATTTATTATTTTATTCTCATTCTACGTGACTTTACCGAAAGAACCAAAGAAAATGCTGATGCTGCCGCGGCTGGTGATCAACGATGCTGCTGATCACGATCACGACGACGCCCATGGCGGTGTTGCCGATGACTGTAACGACGATGACGCTGACGACGACGCCCATTTTGCCCGGTGACTCTCGCGGCGCCCGCAGCCGCTGGACGCGAACGACACGGAGGGCGAGAGCGGCGCGAGGACACAGCGCGTGATCGCCGCGGTCTCGCGCGAGGACGAGGGCGAGTACCTGTGCCTCGCCAGCAACAACGCCGGCTCCAGCAACGACACCGTCACCTTCAAGGTACGACGTGGGGGGGGGGGGGGGCAGGGCGGGGGGGGGGGCCGTGCGCGACTCTCAATTGCCGCTGACGCCCTAGAACGGAGCGCCGCAGTCGGGTCGGTGGGGCCCCCCAAACCAAGGGTCTCGCCACGCGTGATCAGCCGGACGATTGGCACACGCGTACCCACCCGATGATGTGGAGAGCGCCCGTGAGAAGTTAAGTCGCTGCGCTATACGCTACGGGACACGCGGAAAGACAAAGACCCCCCCCCCCTTATAGCATTAACAGAATGTTGGGGCAAGCGCTGTTAGCGAGCACCTGATGAAGTCCGGCACGGCACGCGAAGGAGTGGGTGGCCTGCACCGCGCCCAGCCGCCTTTGTCTCCCGAGTGGCGATGTTTACACACCGCACCAGGTACTCGTTTGAGGTCGAGTCGTAGGTGCGGATGTTGAACTTGTTTCGCACCGTACGTAGCCAACCGTGCTAATTGGAGGTGCGGGGGAAGGGCAACAAACTGAACACATAGCAGTCGACCTAGGGGTGGCCCAAGACCGGTTCAGACAATCGTCACTGGTGTTGGCCGCGAGCGGGAATCAAACTCGGGGTCGCCGGGTTTGTAGCGCAGCGCGCGGACCACTTCAACTACCGCTCCCCACAACTCCCCACAAATCCACGCGTACACACACACACACACGTACAAAGACAAACATCCCCCGTGTAGCCTTAACAGACTGTTGGGGGCACGTGCTGTTGGCGAGCAGCACCTACGAAGGCCGGAACGTCACACGAGGGGGTGGGCGGCCAGCACCACGCCCAGCCGCCTTTCTCTCCCGAGTGGCGATGCCTTTTGCGCACCGCAGCAGGCAGTCATTTGAGGCTGAGTCGACCTTGGAGAGGCCCACGTACACACACACACGCGCACGCATGCACGGGACTCCTCTCCTCACCGGCCGCTCGCCTGGCCGTCCCCGGGTTCGACCCCCCCCCCCCACCCAGGTCCACGACCTGCGTGACGCGGTATGGCCCTTCCTGGGTATCGCCGCCGAGGTGGTCGTTCTCATCGTCATCATCTTCGCCTGCGAGAAGATGGGGCGCAAGAAGGCGACGGCCACCCCTATCGGTATGGCGGCGCGGCCCGCCTCTCCGCTGCTGGATGACCGCAGCTTCCCCCCCCCCCCCGCCCGTGTTGGTCAGGGCGGTGGGTTTGCCGAAAGCGGAGAGCGTAGAAGTAGAGTAGAGCGAGGGATGTTTTTGCCGGCGCTGCCAGTGAACACGTGTTTGTACATCGGTGATTTAGTTTGGCCATACTTCACCGTTCTGGTCTACCCTATGTGTTGTTCTTCACCACGGCGCCTGTGCCAGGCTAAGTGTCGGAGCGCCCGCGGGCAGGAGGTCACGGGACAGACCCCGGTGCCACGGGTCGACTGACCGAGATGACTGGCTGATGCGCCGCCTGTGTCCCCTACTGTACCAACCTGCTGTGCTTTAGCTGCCTGGCGCTCCGCTCGTCGTTGTGAGCGTCGCTCCCCTGCCTCCAGCTGCCCAGCAGCGTCCTTCACGAGCCTCCTCCCCTATACGGCCTCGGGGAGAGGCATCCATTCAGGAGTAGAGCAATGGAGAGCTGTGCATGTATTATTACCTGTTTAATATGACTTGTTTGTGTTTGATGCTCGATGCTTCAATTTTCACGGAAAACCAATGTATTTGTCTAAACGAAACGCGTGCTTCTTGTTTCTCCGGTTCTTGCAGAGGATGACGGAACGATGGCACTGTAAGTCCGCGTGCGTGCGTGCACACGTTACTAGGCATCGCATGCACACGCACAGAAAACAAAGGTGCCCCGTGTAGCCTACACATAACCATCAGGGCAAGTGCTGTCCGCGAGCAGCTATGAAGGCTGGCACGACGCACGAAGAGTGTGGTGTGGTCATAGCACCACGCCCGGCCGCCTTTATCTCTCCCCCAGTGCTGATAATGTTGTGTACCTCGTACACCTATGCTGTGTTCACGTAACAACAACAACAACAACAAACAAACGTCAACTCGTAACACTGCGCCGCCGCATGGCGTTCGCTCATTGCCCTCGAAGAGAGAGGCGGCTGAGAGGTGCGTGGGGGTGACGGGGACGAGTGGTAAGGCAGCGATAGCAGCGGGGCGGTGAGCCGGCGCCAACCGTTGCCCAAGCTCTGTGGTTCCCTACATATGGCGATGTTTTCGGCCAATTTAATGACGAGGGTTTATCTTGTCCAGGATTTTACGTAGCGGTTTTTTTTTTTGTTGAAGGCGCTTTACAAGAATTACAAAGCGCCCGCTAGTTATTGGCCGATGGGGAAAAGGGATGCGGGTTTGAGTGTTGGGGCGGGGAAGGGATGGCGAGGGAGGGTGGTGATAGGGAAAGAGAGAGGTTGGTGAAGTTAGCAAGAGGAAGGATGGTAAGGAAGGGTGATGGCAAGGTTAGCAAGGGGGAGGTTGGTAAAGGCTTTAAGGATGCGGACAGGAAGTGCTAGAGGGATACGCTATTGAAAAAAGATTAGTCTCAAGGGAGGCACAAAAACGGACGATTGAAGTTGGCTGTGTTGACGTGGAGTCGGAGTTTATTCCAACGGAGGGGAGCGGAAACGTGACTGAGTGCAGAGAGAGGTGGGTGGGGGGGGGGCATGGTGAGGAACAATAGAGATTGTGAACGCAGGGGCCCGAGATGAGAACCGGAGCACCCTGGGAAAGACTACTGGAGGAATCCGATGAGCTGTGAAGCTCTTTATTAACGGATGTCCAGCAGGGGCACGGGGTAAGAACGTTACAACAACAAACCGTACAAAAACACGATAGCATTGCAAAGTACAAGCAAGGTAACCAAATCACCCTAAACACAAACAAATACAACACTTAAACCATCCCCATCCTCCCAGGCAAAGCCCACTGAGGTATCAACTTATTTTTCAGAAGCGACCTGGCCACAAATGATGGCTCAACAAAGTGGGCCCCATCATTTGGACATTCACAGCACCAATTATAATCTAAATAATCTCAATGCGTGTTTCTAAATGTGGAGGGGAAAACCGGAGGACCCGGAGACAAAATCCCAGCGACCACGGGGAAAGAGACGCGCAGACTCCAAATATACAACAGGCGTCAGGGTTCGGATCGAACCCACGACCTCCAGGCGAGGGAGATAGATGGCATCCACACTCTGCTGGTAATGCCTTTCTCTTTGCCGAGCAAGAGTACGGGTCCTACTCGACGCCCGCGTGTTTCGCCAGCCCTCGCTACCTCCGTAGTGCTGGGTTTTACAGGCCACGTTGCCCAGAGCACAACCACCACCACCACCGCCACCACCCGGGCTTAAGTATCGGATGTTGTCGCAGTGCCGCTCGTTTTGTCTGTCACGTTAACAGGAAGGGCGCAGCAGAGAATCGCCACCCCGGCACGGAGGCCGTCAGGCAGAGGAACAGCAAGTAGACCGCCGTGCCTGACCGCACTCCACACGACTGGAGGTAAGCGGGGGATTGGAGCGCGAGGCGTGTAGTGACTCGCTTGGCGGTGATGCGGTGGATTACCACGACTCAGGATTTGAGGTTCAGTTTGGTGTGGCTCAGAGGTGGTCAGGCCCAAGGGGGCACGTTGCTTTGGTGATGAATTGTACGCGGACCGCCGCCTTGCGTGTCGCGTATCCCACGTGTTGGGCGTTGGCGTTGAATTTCATTTTTTGTAAAGCACTCGGAACCCTGATTGATGTGAAGGCTGCTATGTAAATTGCATTGTCTGCATTCCATGCATTTTGTGGTTGTTTGTGTCGTGCATTGTAGAGTTTCGCGTTGAACCAGGACCCATATCTTAACAGAGAGCGAGTCCCTTGCCTGATGAACATCTGGCAGGTCAACAGCATTGGTTAAAGCGAGCCTCACTCTGCTGCTGCTGCTGCTGCTGATGAGACGCTAAATGTTGACGCCGGTCGAGAGTTTGCTTCTGTTGAACCAAAAAAAAAAGAAATCACCGCCAGAAGGCTGCGTGGCCGATGGGATGTGTAAAAAAAATACTTTTATATGTTTTTTTTTACACGCAGGGCCCAGATGTTGGCAAGGAGGCGCGCTGTACGCTTATTTATTTTACTACTTGAACAGGGTCGATAGACCATACTTCACCACGCTGGTCAGCACGGGTCGGTGAAGGGTTGGGGGCGCGCCAGGGACCGGTTCCCAACATCGCTCGCCTCCCCCCGATGTTGGCCGTGGTTCGAGGGAACGCCATGTGGAGCTGCCGCAACGGGGGCGCCGGCGGCGACGCCGCCCGGCGGAGACGGAGACGCCAGATTTGTTTTTCAAGTTGGGGAAAGAATTTAACAGCGCGGCGCCCCAGAGAGACGGGGATTTGTTTAAAAGATCTCAATAACAATGGTAACAGCAGCCGCGCGCACTCTGACCCCCGCCGCCGCCGCCGCCGCCGCCGCTGCTGCAGGGTTTCACTCGGGCCTTTAAATGCAGACTTTTCCCACGGTGTACCGGTCAGCACCACCGGACTTGCAATCCAGAGGTCGCCGGTTCGACTCCATCTCCCAGGGCGGCGGTTGAAACGACGAGGTTTATTTTTAAATCCGCCCCCCCCCACCCACCCACCCCTCCTCCGCCTCCGTCCACCCGGCGGGCGTCAATGGGTCCGCGACAGCGGGCCAAGCGGCAGGCCGCGTGCGGCGGGGTTGAAGTGTCGGCGTTGCCGCCTCTTCCAAGTCGTCCGGCCAGCGTGGAAGAGCAGGCCAAATACCCTGTGTAGAGTGAGGCTCTCGAGAGCCCCCTGGAGCGGAGGCCGCTCCCGCCAGCAGTGGCACGCGCGGGCAGCCGCAGGGCCTGCGCCTTCACCCTCGACCGCCGTGCGCGACGCCCGTCAGCAAACAACATTGGGCGGCAGCTGACGCCGAATCCACCCTCGTGATCCCACGCCGGGGCCAAGGCCCGCAAGCGCGGGGGCCCCCCGCTCCGCGGTGCGCGCCGTCGGTTTCCTGCGCCGCGCCGGTGCCGCGCCGCGCCGGTGCCGCGCAGCTCGCCGGCGCGGTGTCTCGGGTTGTGCGAGCGAGCGTTGTTCCGCACGACGTCCCCCGATGTTTTCTCCGCCACCTTGCCGGCTGAAGCCTTCCCGTGCATCGCGTGGCTCCCTGTGTGGCTCACCCCCACCCCGAATCCCTCCGCTGTCATCTGTGCATCTCTGTCGCTGAATGTGAAACCAGCTGTGAAGCCTCCAAGTAACTCGCGTGACTTCAGTGAGTGGCCAGCCCCACTCTGAGCCCCTCGCCCTCGCCCGCTGCGAGAACAGACGCCGCTCCGTGCAGCAGCAGCAGCAGCAGCGTCGAGGCCCTGACGCAGCCTCTCCCTCCTCCACCCTCTCCTCGTCTCTCCTGGCCCTGTGCTCCCGTTCCTCCGCTCTTTCCCCATCCTCTTCCTCACATTCCCCATTCCTCCTCCTCCTGCTGCTCGTTGATCTTAAGACTTGATTGCCAATGTTTGTTGTGACGTTCTTACCCGCCCCTTACTGGGCATCTGTGAAAAAGAGCATTATAGCTCATCGGATTCCTCCAGTATGAAAATATTTCTGCTTCTCCTCTGTCTTTGTTGCAGCAACATTCGGGCCCGGCAAATCACAGCGGGAGATTCCAATAACAGGATACAACATACTCTTTGGTTCTCTTTCATGTGCTCCAGCTGCGCCGGAATGGATGTTGGATGAAGTTTTCGTGACTGCAGGAATCCATACTCTTTGGTTCTCTTTCGGTAAAGTCACGTGGGTAGGAAATAAAATAAATACTAAGTCACGACGTTTCGATCGCAACACAAGCAATCGTCATCAGGTAGAAAGATGCAGCAGTAGAACTCTTCAGTTCAGAAGAGTGCTTTTTGTGTACTCTCACACGGTCGTGATCTTCCCTGCAGGGCGTCCCGGTGGGAGATGGAGGGTGCGGAAGCGGAAGCGGACACCGGTCGTTCTTCGCCTACTAAGTGCATAGTCTTCCCGACATCATCATCATCGTCGTCGTCATCGTCGTCGTCATCAACCGTGGCCTATCCGCTGCTAGAGACGAAGGGTCTCCTCCCCGTGCCGCCGTCACAATCTCCCGTCGCGTCGATGTTTCCGCCGCCCGTTTTTTCCCCCGCGTGCGCGCGCCCATTTCATGGTTGGGGCCTCCGCTGCGGTCGCCCTCCGAGGGCGCTGTTTTTCGTCCCGTCTCGTCCGTCGGCCCGCCATCCCATCGCAGTTGACGCGTCCTGCCCAAGCCCGCTTGTTTTCCCCACCGGCCCGTGCGACGTTTGTCGCCCTTGGCCCCGCGCGTCCGATTAGCCCGGTTGGCCACGTACGGTGCGAAAGAAGTTGAACATGCGTACATTGCGTGCGAGCGTTCACAGCAGCCACCTCCGCTACCTCTCCGTCTCTCGCTGTCAATCCCGAGCGTGCGCCTCACTGCTTTGCACACTTTTCAGCTCCCGCTTGTTTTTTTTTTTTCTGTCCGTGTCCCTCTGCGTCCGATCGGACGCAGAGGGACACGGATAGCACTGAGGAACGGAAACTCCAGGTTGCTGACAGGACAAGAATGTATGAGGGACGCGTCTTCTTGGAATGTTGTGTTTGTCAAAGCGCAGGGCATTACCATCCTGCAAATACGTACACACACAAACACAAACACACGTACCACTCGTCATTTACATGTCATCATCGGCCATGGTCAGTCCACTGCTGGATGAAGGCCTATCCACGCCGTCTGCATCCGTCATGTTTTCGCGACGTCGCAATCCATCTCGAGCTGATCTTGTCATTCCATCTCCGCTTTGGGCGTCCTCGCCAGCAATTATGGACCTGGCTGGAAGGTGGGGAGGGGAGGCTTTCACCCCCATTGGTGGCGATTGTGAAAATTCCACATTCCTATGACCGGGGTCAGCCCACCGAAAATACAACGACGGTTAACTTACCCGCAAAGCGGTACTGATTTTAACCGCCCTGGAGGGATGATGACCGATGCAATGAAATGAATACCAGCCAGGTCTTAAACAATGTGTGCGTAGTAGATGCATTTAAAATAGAGCCCCCGTAGCCTTATAGAGTACTGGGGGGTAAGTGTTGTTAGCGCGCACCAACCAATCACTGCCAGCAGGGCGCTCGAGCGCCTGGTGTGGCAACAATCACGCCCCACCGCCTTTGTCTTCCCATTTATGGTGCTTGCTCATTTGAGGCTGAGTCGACCTAGAGGATATTCGTCACCGACGTTGGCCGGGTTGGTAGCGCAGCGCGCTAACCGCTGCGTCACCGCTCCCCAGCGCACACAGATAGAGGCGTCACGTACGCACGCGCGCACACTTGCACTGCTGCGCAGGCAATTGTAGAAAAAAAAAGTCATATATTTACAGTCGCAAGTATATAGCAATGAGAATAGTTGTAGAAAAAAGCACGCGTCGGATAACTATGCATTGTTTTACGGGATAAATTATACGAGCGGCTGTGTAACTTCGGGATTCGCCACCAATCCTGCAATTCGTAATGAGTTTCTTTTCGGGTCTCAGTGTCTCACAATAACCCTCCACCACCCTGCGGCAGGGCCAGCCGAATCAAGTTGCCGCGTGGGGCGAAGGGCGTCGCTTGGCGCGGTTTATCGGCGAGTCGGGCGAGTGTTGGATGAAGGCCAAAAGCCAAAATATTAACGATTTGGTTGGAGGTTACGCCCAGCAGAAGCTCAGCCAGCTTCCGCTAGCACCGGCGATGCTGGCTGTCATCTCCAGCGAAGCGTCTTATTTTATGTGTACATAAAAATTGTCGAAATGTTGTTCGCCTTTCAACGACGCTCCGGTTTTGCTGATAAACCGAATCGATTGGTTGTGTCGCCGGCTGGTGGTGCGGTGCAGATAACAGTGGGCGCACGGTGGCGAGGAGATGTTAACTAACTCGCCTGGTATACAGGAGGTCGTGGGTTCGATCCCGACCCTGACGCCTGCTGTATATTTGGAGTTTGCGTGTCTCTCTCTCACGATGGTCGCGTGGATATTTCTCCGGGTCCTCCGGTTTGTCCCTCCACATTTAGGATGAACATGCTTTTATAGGTTATTTGGTTGCTATAAATGTCCACGCGATGATTAGCCACTTCGTTGAGCTATCTTTGTGATAGCCAGGTCGCTTCTGAAAAAGAGCTTTATCGCTCAGTGGGCCTTCATCTGGCAATATAAAATATATTTTTTAAATAGCTTGGTTATGTTGGGGCCTTTTGGGTTTGGGAGTGAGTGCTCAGCCTGGCCCTGTTTGCTGTTCAACTGTTATGTACCAATTTTAAAACATGAAAATGTGTTTAAAAAAAATGAAGCCACGTGCTGTTTCCGCTTCCAGTAGTGCTGTTTGTTGCTGGCTGCCTGCCTGGGGTAGCGAGATTATGGTGGCAGCTCAGTCACCACTCGCTGCTGAAAATCCCAAATAAATGTAACATTCGCTTGCGCAACTGGTGAAATGTTAGCTCTGAGAATAAAAAAATGACATCAGTTTGACCGTCGTGCGACGAAAATATCTGTCACAAGTGTACGGGGGGGGGGAGGGTGGGGATAGTGCTGCCCGCGACTGTGCCTGTGGAACAGAGGAGACTTCAAGAAGAGGAAAAATAATAAGGCATCTCGGAGGTAGCTCTGTGATCTCCACGTCTCCAGGGGCCGTTCTCGAATAACGCCCAAGGGTTTGCACTGCTGCGTGACAGGGATCCGAATGCCCACTCTGATTTTAAATTTGTTAGGAAACCTGAAATGTCGTTTTAGAAACTTGTTTGCCAAGTCTTAAAGTATCACCCACCCCACGTCCAAGTACCCGATTAGTGCAGCAATGATGCTTGCGCGTGACGGGATTCGTGTATCGCCTTCGGGGCCGTTTGGAGAGTCGTGCGCCTCGCGTGGCCAGGGGGCCGCCGTGAGACGAGGTCGCGTGTCGCGTTCGGTCCACGAGACCGTAGCTTCCTTTATTTTTTTTTGTATCACCGATTGAAACGATCCCTACAGGTTACAGTGGAGCACCGCTCTCTTCGCTTGCACGATGGCAGTAGCAGAAGCAGCAGCAGCAGCAGTGTGTTCAGGAATCAAATGCCAATGTCGAGTTCTTCCAGCCACGACGAGAGGGCTTCAGGAGAGAGAGAGAGTCCGTTGCCGCCTTGTTTATTCCTCCAATTTGAATGAGCGCAGACTTCAGCGGTTCACGATATGCTCCATATCATTAATGCACTGGAATACAATTGCTCTTTGTCGTCCATCGTACTTGTGTCGCATATGAATGTATTCTAACAACGGTGATAGCGATGTCCGGTGTCTTGTGTGTTGCAAAAATAAAATAGTACGTCCCATGTGATTTCGGCTTGTACCGTTATGTGTCCGACGTTTCGTCGCCACGCGCCGGGAGCTTCTTCAGGAACTGAAGACATCACGGCGGAGAGCTATACAGCGCAACCGCAAAAATAAACTTGCGCAGTGAAATAAAAGTGCATCCTGCAATTTAAACATGAAAAAAATATTAGTCTTTTTGGTTGTTGTTGATGGGGGTTGGGTTTTCAGCTGTGCAATAGACGATGAATCAAACAGACGGTCACTGCATCGCGCGCTTTCGAATGCGTTTCTGCGGCCGTCTGGAACGCTCTTGCTTCCGATATTACGAAACCACTGGAGCTGTGCACTATGAAATCATCTTATACTCATTTCTTTAAAACGGATTTTTGTGTTTAGTTTGTTTGTCCTTCCCCCGCACCTTCGATTAGCACCGTTGGCTACGTACGGTGCGAAAGAAGTTCAACGTACAAGGAAGCGACGATGGTTGTGGTGACTTCGGCTGCCACGTGGATTTTTACAATGTTAAGGCCAAAAAAAGGAAATGTGCAGAGGACCTATTTGGATGGATGGTGGTTTTGGTGGTGGTGACACAGTGAGCGGCCAATACCAGTGACGGTAATCTGAACTGGTGCTGGGCCTCCCGTAGGTAGACTCGGCCTCAAATGAGTACGTGGTGCAGTGTGTGGTAAACATAGCAGCTCGGGAGACAAAGGCGGCCCGGCGTGGTGCTGGGCAGCCACCCCCACCCCTCACCGTGTGCTGTTCTCGCCTTCGTAGGTGCTCGCTAACAGCACTTGCTCCTACAGTTTAAGACTATGCGGGGATGTTTGTCTTTGTACGTGTGTGTGCACGTTTAACAGCAGAGGTCTCACTCCGAATCAGTCGAGCGGCAATATCTTTTCATCGGTTGCGTAACGCTGTGTGGAAGCTACCTGGTCTGTCGCTCCGCACTAAGCTTCAGGTCTTCCCGGCCACGGTCATTCCCTCCCTTCTCTACGCTTGCGAAACGTGGACCCCCCTAATGGAACATCTTCGCCGGTTGGAAACATTTGGGATGGCCTACCTACGATCCATCCTGGGTTTAACCAGACTGGATTGTGTGAGGAGCTCACAAATCCTTGAAAGATCTGGGCAAGGTGCCATCGGTGAGCTCCTCCGGCGGGCAAGGCTGCGATGGCTGGGTCATGTAGCCCGCATGCCCAGCCACCGCATGCCGACACATGGAGTGATGTGGTACAGGAGGACGTGGAGCTGAGTGGACTTGCCGATGACTGGTACCAGCGGTGTCAAGATCGGCCTCTGTGGAGGAGGCTCGTGAAGGACGCTACTGGGCAGTTGGAGGTAGTCGCCCTCCAACAACAACGGAGGGCGGAGGAGCGACGCTCACAACAACGAGCGGAGCGCCGGGTGGCTAAGGCACAGCAGGTTGGCACAGTAGGGGGCACAGGTGGTGCATCAGCCAGTCATCTCAGTCATCTCAGTCAGTCGACCCGTGGCACCTGGGTCTGCCCCGTGACCTCCTGCCAGCGGGCGTTCGACACTTCACGTGGCCTCAAGGTGCACATGGCCTGGCACAAGCGTCGTGGTGACGTCACCGCCACTTAGTGGCGAATGGCGGTTGTTGTTGTGCACGTGTGTGTGTACGTGTGTGTGTACGTGTGCCACAGTGCCAATCCGTCATAGGTGCATGCTACTCTGTAACAGCACTTGCCCCAACAGTCTGTTAAGACTGCACGGAGGGAGAGAGAGGGGGGGGGGTCTTAGTAATGTTTTGATTATGACGCAGTGGGTTGGTGGTTCCCTCTGCTGCCGCGAGGTGGCGTAACGCCACCTCGGTACCACCTCGGCCTCCTCGACCTTACCTACCAGCGGCGATCGCCAGAGGCCTCCAGACAGCTGGATTATATCCCAGGGCGTCTCAAGTGTCCAACAACAAGCGAGGCCTTTGATTGGGAAGTAGGCCGACCGGTCGGGTTTACAATATCACGAACAAAATGGGAACTTTTTTTGAATTCACCGGATTATTATCAGACGCACCCCAAAAACTTGCCAATAAAGGTTGTAGACGAAAATGTAAAATGTGTACAGTCGATAATCGATTATCTGGCGGTCCCGGGCCGATCCAAAGGCTGTCAACCAGCCCGGCGATCAGCACCGTGTGCATGACAACACAAAGTAGCTGCGCTTGATTTCAATGTCCAATTCGACACAGCTCCTGATCATCGCCCCATGCAGAGTCGTCGAGATTGGGAGTGGTAAGTTCGGTGCAGCGAACGCGGCATCTGTTCGTTTATTTATGTAAATGTCACGGTGCGAACACATTTACACACGCAAAAAAACGTATACACAACACCTAAAAACATAACGTTGCTATTTTAAATAATGATTATTAGTGATTAATTATCCGGCGACGCCCACACCCCCCCCCCCCCGAAGATGCTGGAAAATCGACGATCGATTGCATTTTTCACTTCTTTTGCACCGTACGTAACCAATTGGAGGTGCGGGGAAGGACTCCACACAGTCCCTCAATAACATTGCACATTCAAATTGGACTATCGATACTACATGGGGGAAGGGGGGGGGCTCTCTTCCTCTCTCCGGGGTCAACTGCACAGACGCCACGGCGATGGGAGTTGAGTTGGGGGGAATTGGCCCTTCTATTCTGAAGGGTCATTGCCCGAACCGTCGCCTATTGCTGGTAAGGTGTATATATATTTTCTCCTATTTTGAGTAGTGTTGATTTACGAATGTATAGACTTTCACTTTTAATTTGATCGAAACTAGTTTTTATCGCCATTTGCATTAACTCGAGGTGCCGTACCGTGGCTCGCCAGGAGGAGGCGGTAGAGCAAGTGGACTAGATCGCCATCTGTTTCCATCTGTACGGGGGCGTTTGGGTGCTGTTTCCCCCTCGTGGGATATTCTCCTGGTGCTCCCGTGTCATCCCACGCGTACAATAAAACAGCCATCGCCAATTAGCCGAAACGCACAAAATAAGCACCGAATACAGCAAGTAGCAAGCAAAAGTCACGATTATCCTAAGACGACACCAGCTCGATTCGTGTTTGCAACGGCGCGTGGCCACCGCGCATTAACAGCGGTGCAGTGGGTTTAAACGCCCTCTTGCTGTTTGCCCCCAACCTCTTGCTGGGTCGCACACACGCAGCGTATTCACAGAGGTGGGTCTACCAAGGCTCCTCGTGCCAGGTGCAGTGCGTCAGTGACGTACATCGCAACGTCTGAAATGACCTTGCTTTTATTTGTCGCTGCTACTGTCACTGCTGCCACTGCCGCTGCGTCTACTCTGCTGCTGTTGCTGCTGTGTGCTGATATTGCTGTTGCTACTGCTGCTCTTGCTGCAGTCACTGTTGCTACCCCTGCTATCTGTTGCTATTGTTCTATGCTGCGAGTGATGTTGACTCTGTAGCAGCAGCAGCAGCAAATTAGTCAATTGGGATTCCACATCGCAGCATTATTACCCCCTCCCCCCCCTTGCAGTGAATTATTGGCAGCACTGCCCTGTTTAATACGTTGTAGTCGGCTTTCGCGACCAATATTATCCATAATGAGAGGTTTTTGGGTTAGATCGTGTAAATTTAATTGGGTCATTAAACCCGCCACAGACAATTATTAGTAAGCTTCGTCACGTAAACAAGACGTGCCCCAATTCGTTGCTAGTACAGCACACCGGTGTGTTGGAGAGTAAACCCACGGCATTTACAACTGTACATGTTTTCAAACCCACATTTACAATTGTACATTTACAATTGTACAATGTACATTTACAATTGACCATTGTACATACATTGTAAATGTACAATTGTACAATGTACATTTACAATTGACCATTGTACATACATTGTAAATGTACAATTGTACAATGTACATTTACAATTGTACAATTGTCAATTGTAAATGTACAATTGCACAATTGTAAACGTGTGTTTGAAATCCCTTTCTTGACAACGAGTCAAGAGCCTTCCCTCAAGGCGTAGTGAGGAGGAGAATAACAACAACAACAACAACAGCGGCTCTTGACAGACGGCCACACACACACACTGCAATGCCGTCCGCTCAACACGCGCGCGAAACGGGTGTTTGACCAATGAGTGAGCGGATCGGCGGGCAGCGTCAGGGAGGGAGTGAGGCGCCTACCATGGACAGCTCCACCAACCTCACTCCGCACTGCGGTAACCCTCGCGCAAGGAACCACTCTGGGCACACGGGGTTCCTGGTCAAGGCAACTTCAACCACCTCCGCGTGACATTGTCCCGGGTTCACCACCACGAGCTACTTACCACTGCCGCCTCCGTCGTCAGTTGCAAGCAGCAGCCATAATTCTCTCTCGCTTCATTGCTTCACCTCATTGTGCTTTGCTTTGCTCATGTCGGTGAGCCAGGCGAGTGGGCTCTTGCACACGGCACTTACTCATCCAGGTCTCCTGCACTTCTCACCTTGCTGAAAGGAAATAAACTTCACTTGACTGGAGTCATCGACCGCCATTCGCCAAGTGGTTGTGACGTCACCACGGCGCCTCTGTGCCAGGCTATGTGCACTTTAAGGCCACGTGAAGTGTCGAGCACCCGCTGGCAGGAGGTCACGGGACAGACCCAGGTGCCATGGGTTGACTGACTGAAATGACTGGCCGATGAACCACCTGCGCCCCCTACTATGCTAACTTGCTGTGTTTTAGCAACTCACACACTCACCCACTCACTCACAAACTCACTCACTCACCCACCTACTCACCCACTCATCCACCACTCACTCACCCACCCACCCACTCACTCACCCACCCGCTCATTTACTCAGTCACCCACTCATTCACTCACCCGCTCACCCACTCACTCACCCACTGACACACTGATTCACTCACTCACCCGCTCACTCACCAACTGACTCACTTACCCACTCACTCACTCGCCCACAAAATTAAGTAACTCTTGCAAATGGGGACTCATCCTTATCCACTGAAGTTCTCACCTGGTGAAACAAAACCAGCTTGAGACTTGACATGACACC